GATTCTCGAATGCAGCCCTTGCGGCCGTGGCAACAGCAGCATCGAGGTCGACGTCATCAAATACTAACGTAGGATTCTTGCCGCCTAGTTCAAGCGAGATATGCTTCCCTATATCCTGGACGGTATCCCGACGGATTTGGATACCAGTCGCTGTACCACCGGTGAACGAAACACCCTTGACACGGGGATGCTTGACCAAAGCCGAGCCAGTGGGATTACCGGCCCCATAGACGAGATTCAGAACACCGGGCGGGAGTCCAGCATCTTGGATTACCTTCCCAAGTACTGCCCACTTAGCATTATAACAAAATCCCGACAGATAAACTTACAATATGCGGAAACGCTAGTGACTTCGCTCGGTTTCGCGACAGCAGTACACCCGAACGCCAGACACGGCGCGATCTTCCAGGTCAACAGATACAGCGGCATATTCCACGGCGAGATGAGCGCAAAGACGCCAATCGGGGAGCGGTGCTCGTACGTCAGCACATTATCGTCCGTCCAGCGCGCAGCCGTGCTTTGTTGTAGGATGTACGTCGCAAAGTACCTAGTGTCATTAGGTTCATTCTCCAGTCTTTCCGTATGGATATACCTGAAGTTAGAAATCGCGCGATCAATCTCCACCCTCGCTCGCCCCAGCGTCTTCCCCTGGTCGATACTCTCCCATACAGCGAAGAGTTCGCGGCGTTCTTTGATCAGTGTCGCGATGCGATTCAGGTGTGCGGCCCGCTTCGACGGGGGAGTCTGCGACCATGAGCCGAAGGCGGTCTCCGCGGCCTGGACTGCGTTTTCAATGTCCTGTGCTGAGCTGTTTGGGACGCGAGCGAATATTTGCCCCGTTTTCGGGTTAAAGGAGTCTATCCACTCGCTGCTAGTCGAGGCTGTTTGGGCGCCATTGATGAGGTTCTGTAGTTGGAAGGGTTCAAAGGTCGATTGTTGGAGGAGGGACTCGGCGGCTTCAATTGAAGCATAATCCCATGGTTGGATCATTGCCTATACTCATGCATACTTATCAGTGAGTTGTACTAGATTATTGTAGATCTAGATACAGACTCAGCGATATAATATCCGCCCTCTACAGTGATGATATCTATTGGTGCATCGATGGATAGATCCGTACCCCGCATTTTCGGTGGACCCGGAAGCGGATACGGAGATAGATCCGTGTACAACATCGCATTCATTGGCCTCGAAGAAACTATGTGTAAGAGATTCACTTTGGATCTGCGATGCAACCGCATTCCCCGCATCGTCGACTCCCCTCATCCTGCTGCCACCTCTCAATGATTGGTTTCAGTTGTGACCCGAGATCCGAGCAGTGAAAGACCTCCTCGCGGATGATTGTGGGCGAGGAATGGTTTCCTTTGGTACAGTACCATCGCAGGCGATCGCGAGATTCCGCCGGTCGTTGTCGTTCCATAACTAGGCCGATGGTATCTTTGTATCTGACGGGGTTGTGGGGCGTGTTTCCTACCTGTGTCAGCATAATCGAGTGGGAATTTGGAATACGTACCTGGAAGAAGGAACATCTCGCCCTCTTTGACAGGAATGTCGCGAAATGTGTCGTTCTGTACAATCCGGAGAAGCATGTCGCCTTTGACTTGGTAGAACCATTCCTGCCAATTAGTCTAGCTCAGCTTATGCTGTTGGAACATACTTCGGTTTCATTCACTGGAGATGTCAGTTACAGTTCTTCCATACCGAGAAGAATCGTACCATGATAGTCATTCCGTTCGTTGGGTCCTCCCACTGCCATCAGGATAAAGTCATTCCCCTGATAGAGAAAGAAGTTGTTGACCGGGGGCCGTAATTTGTCTTCATTTTCGGCCAGCCAGCTGGCCCAGGACAAGGGATTGAGGGTCATCATGTTGATCTGGATTGCTGGTTGTCGTGCATGTCCGATGATGTCTACTAGGTATTTATCAATGCATCGGATGCTATCCGGATGGATCCGTATACGCCCCGCATATAATACGGATCGCAGATAACCTGGGGTAGATAATCTGTTTATCTTCTCCAATTTCATCGGTATCGCCATCAATAAGATATTCATCGTAACTAATCAAATTGTCTATCAACATAATCAAAATGGGAAGCTGTTGTACGAATCACCGCCTCCTCCGCATCGACATGCACACCCATATTATGCCCCCTTCGTTCCCCGACCTCTCCTTATATCCCTGCAATACTCCTCCCCCATCATCCTCAGACTCAGATTCATCCATCGCATCAGCCTCAGAATCACCATGGCTCACCCTCCGTCCAAACCCCACCAACCCAGACGAAGTAGACATGTACATAGGCGACCGCTTCTTCCGCACCGTCGAGAAAAACTGCTACGACACGGCAACACGACTCGCCGAGATGGACGCTGCCGGGACAGACGTGCAGGTCCTCAGCACAATCCCCATCCTCTTTTTCTACGACCAGCCCTCCGAACCCGTGACCGTGCTAGCTAGACACCTAAACAATCACATCGCCTCCGTCTGCCGACAACATCCAACCCGATTCCTTGGTCTTGCAACCGTCCCACTACAAGATGTCCCGGCCGCCGTCGCAGAGCTCCACCGCGCAAAGCACGAGCTTGGCCTGCACGGCGTCGAGATCGGAACCACAATCGACGGGGTCACACTCGACGATCCAATCTTGCATCCGTTCTGGGCTGCATGCGAGGAGCTGAACATGCCCGTCTTCGTGCACCCGCTCGGCTACACCTGGCCGAAGGAGAACCCGCGTCGCTGGGCAAAGTACTGGAGCAGCTGGCTCATCGGGATGCCGTGCGAGACGGCGCTAGCGCTACACCTGCTGATCTGCTCTGGAACGCTGTTGAAATTCCCGAAACTGAGACTGTGTTTTGCGCATGCGGGAGGGTCGTTCCCTGCGTTACTGGGGCGGATCCAGCACGGGTATGACTGTCGGCCGGATCTGGTGGCGGGGGATGCGGGCGGAGTCACTCCCACCGAGCATGCGACTGTGCGTGAGAATATTTGGATTGATAGTCTGACGCATGATGTTGAGTTGCTGGAATATCTGGTTAAGAAGGTTGGGGCGCACAAGATGATCATGGGGAGTGATTATCCATTTCCGCTTGGGGAGGTGCCGGAAGCTGGGAGGATGATTGCGAAGGATGGACGGTTAGAGGGATTCTTGTCCTGGAGGCAGCGGGCTGAGATTCTCGCAGGGAATGCGTTGAGGTTTTTGAACCTGCATAAGGATGAGAATTGGAAGAGTTTGATGGAGGAGAGGTGGCGGACGTTTGAGAAGGTATATATCAAGTGATTTGCATTGGACGACTAATCAATGGACATTCTCCTTTAATCGAACACACAGATTCTATGCTCTGTTTTTCTGCGTTTAGCCAGTGATTTTCTCTTTCTTGATATCTGCATCGTCTGGACGCTCAGTCGGCGAGATGGAACAACCCATCCACCCACGCTGCATCCGACATGGACGAAAACATACCCCTCCTAGAACGGTTTGTTCCAACTCTGTCCAGAGTCATATTGTGCTGAGGCAACGTCATCTTTTACACCAACTATTACTTAGGGTTCTACAGTTTGACTTGTGATTGCTGAGTAATTGACTAATCATACCCGCTGATCCCGCTCTCCTCCGCCGGGTTGCCTGACTTATCCTCGGCTTTGGGACCGTTTGCTTTCTCATCTTTACCCATTGTGACTCATGTAAAACTAACGCTAACAGCAGTACTTATATCCGATCGGGAACTCGTCTCCTATTGCTTGAGTCGACAAGCAAAATGTCTCACCTCATCACGACCATCTCCCGTTCATACCCATGGATGAAGACGCCATTGATCGTCAGCGCCCCGATGCGGGTTTTGGCCGGCCCCACACTGGCGGTTGCAGTCTCCCGTGCTGGCGGACTAGGATTCATCGGGCCGGGGGTGAAGACTCAAGATATTGGCGCTGATCTCGAAGAAGCATCAATCTTGATAAAAAATTTGTCCGCTTCCCAAGTCCAACCTTCTGTGCTGCAGAGTCAACCCAACATCCCGGTCGGCGTCGGCTTCCAACTGTGGAGCGATGACGTCGAAGTCGCCGTCTCCACTATATGCAAATACAAGCCCTGCGCTGCCTGGCTCTTTGCTCCGCGCAACGGACAAAAAGACCTGGATACCTGGTCCCGGCGGATCCGCGACGCGTCTCCATCAACCCGCGTATGGATCCAGATCGGCACGCTAGCTGAGGCACGGGAGCTTGCAAAGAGCACCGAGGCACCAGACGTGATTGTCGTGCAAGGAGCAGAGGCAGGCGGACACGGTCGGGTAAAGGACGGTCTCGGAATCATGGCATTACTCCCGGAGGTGATGGACTGTCTTCCACCGCACATCCCTGTGTTCGCGGCTGGGGGCATAGCTGATGGGCGTGGCGCAGCAGCGGCGCTCTGCCTTGGAGCTACAGGCGTCGTGATGGGGACGCGATTCCTTGCTGCTACAGAGGCAAGGATTAGTCCGGGCTATCAGCGGGAGATTGTGCGGGCCAGCGATGGCGCCGTCTCGACGACACGGACGATGCTGTATAACCATCTTCGGGGAACAGTGGGCTGGCCGGAGCAGTATAGTCCTCGGGGGATTATCAACCGGTCGTTCATCGAGCATCAGGAGGGCCGGCCATTCGATGAGCTGAAGAAACTTCATGATGAGGCTCTCAAGGCAGGAGATGCTGGGTGGGGACCGGAGGGGAGACTGGCGACGTATGCTGGTGCTGCGATTGGGTTGATTCATGATGTGAAAGACGCTGAGAAAATTGTCCAGGATGTCCAAACGGAGGTGCTACGGAGGCTTTCAAATGTGCAAAAGGCTAATGCGGAACAGTAAATGGATGGAATGACTTCGTATATAATGTATTGACATTATACTACAGATCGGTGCTATACGTTTGGAGACGTAATGATATCTTCAGAAGTGATATAGCCTACTCGTTCAAGCACAACCAGCATCGTAATCCGGATGAGCGATATAATACCATTTTCTCAGTCCTTCACAGCAATAACGCAGTTCGCCTAGGGTTATCAGTGATTGCGTTACTGAATCTCCCAGCCGCAATAGCTGTACCATGGGCGAATGCCGCATTGTCGAATATGTCCTCCTTGGACAATTTAAGCCGTACGAAGAAGCGCACCATGTCATGGATGAAGAAACTGTCAATCACAGTATCCGAACGCTTCCGGTTGAACTTGACAAGCCCGGACACCTCTAGCTCCCTAAGCGCAGACGCAAAGTCGTCCATCTGTGAATGCAGATGGAGCAACCAGGTCAGATCGGATGATCCAGGGTTCTCGTCACACTGGGCAACAGCGTTCGAAATGGCCGAGAAAGGTATCTGGCCACGATCCTGGAGAGCGAGAAGATGTAAAAGTTTCACTGAGTCGCCCCTCTGCCTGCTCAGAGCGTCATACAACATTTCAAACGCTGTCCAGAGAGTGCGCCCCTTCTCGTAAGACTCAAAATACTTGGCAAAGGGTGTTTCGAATGTCGTTTCAACAAATTGTCTCTCGAATTGTCGATTGTATTCGGTTAGAGAAGTGATGCCGTACGATAAGAATGAGCCCGCTTGTTCCAAGGCAAGAGGCACTCCTCCAAGCCGCCGCGAAATTGCCTTCGCAGTCGCTGGGGCTGTGAGCGATGTCAGTGAACAGTGGATCCAGGCTTATATGCTTTGGATGAATACCTGAAGAGTTCGAGATACTGCTGCCGGACCACCTCAGAAGGATTTCAGAGCCTGCTTGCTCGTCAACACCATTCACTTGGATCCCTGCAAAGTCCAGCCGAAGGTGAAGATCAGATGATATGGTTGTTAGCAACACATGGCCATGGTCACAGGATGGAATGTACTTCCTGAGATCTATATAATCAGGTTCATTCGGATCCTCACGGCCATCAGCCCCATCGAATACGATGATCCAAGAACGATTCAGGTCTTGCTCCAACCACTCCAAGACTATTTCAACAGCCGACTGCTCTTCATTGACGTTTATACCAAGCTTCGATAAGACCTGAACAAAGGAATCGTGGACCGAGTCCGCAGACGAGCTGTCGATCCACAAAATGGCACCATAGGAAGGGTTGTGCATCGTTATATAGTGGAGTGCCAACTGTGTCTTGCCATAGCCACTGAGTCCCCAGAGTACGGCGCCTTTTCTGCCTCGCTCGGGCCGTCCAAGTTTTCGCTCAATTTGTTCTAAATCGATCTTCCGCCCAGAAAAGACCGTCTTTGGGATCGGAATCGGCATGTCCACTTTCTGCACCGCACGCGACTCTGGAGTTAACGCTTAGTATGGTCAAGACAGGCTCTTAAGAACTGCTCACCTGCTTTAGCACTGTGTTCCCAACACCACAAAAGAGCTTTAGCAGCAGCAGCCGCCGTGGCTGCGGCGTAGTTCTGCCATGCCTTGTTTTTGTGGCTGTCTGCATAGTCGCAGACCCCCTTGATGATGACACATGGAAGATTATCCCATACTCCGGCGCCTTCCATCTCAATTCCGATAATTCCTTCATTCTTTTCCAACAAATCCCGGTGTTCTCCTGACTTCATCACCCTGTCCGCACACCCAAATGTACCAATGTGTACATTGATATGATTAGAGTTCTCGCTGGATCGACGACGACGGGCATGCGTATTTTCGCGACCGTGACGAGCGCAATTAACTGAGATACCGTTAGCACAGTCGCAGTGTTGACGTAGGTCGATCGTCCGATGCGAATGCCGGTATGATTCCTCGAAGACAACATCCCGCGAAACGCCCGGGCACATCCACCTCTCATTCAGCGCTTGTATATCATCCAAATGCTTGCTTAGCTGCCCCTGAAATGAACCATATACCTCACTACTCCTCAGCGCCGACAAGAGCGTTCTTATTTCTTGATTCGGTCGTCCAAGTCTCTCCTTCACGCCAGACGTCCGCTGGAAGCCACCCGCATACTGCCTGCCGAAATCATACTCAATCATACTATCGCTGATGAGGACATCTCCGAGGAATATCTCCGACGCACCGCTTGACGGAAATGGGACGCCACCGCATATGCCGACGAGCAATGCCAGTCGAAGGTTCGGGAAGCTGAATCGCAAGTTCGTAGCCGCGCCAGCTGCGCTCACCTTACCCATACGTGGCATAGGACACACGACAATGTTGTGCTTCCCCATTCGTCCAATTGTATAGACGTTCACATCTCTATAATCCTTCATGTGTTCATTGCGAAGTCTGTTGTAGGTTTCGTCCAGCAAGGCTTCGACGGCGTTGACTTCCCGCGGAAGGGCGCATATGATAGCGATCTCAATCTCGTCACGGCTGGTCGGACCCATCTTGAGTAAAACTCACGGCCACGGCAACAGACCCGAACTTCGATGTCAGTAAGAGTCTGCGCAAGTTCACGTTCGGTTAGATATAACTATCTTTCAGCAAAGTGTCTGCACAATTGCTCAGGTTCATCCTCTCTGTTTCTGCGGGGGGTCGGCGCGTTTAAACAGGGCTCTAGCCGCTTCCTCGGCCTGTTTGGCATACATCTATCAGCGCCAATGTCCTAAGACAATTCGATTGTGCAGCATTGACTGTTGAAATATCTAAGTCTGGCCTTCCCAGTGCTTCGTAGGAAACCTGGGGCCAATCATGAGGCCGCAGTAGCCGCTTGAGCGTGGACCTCTCTTCTCATGACAGACATGCACCGAGAATAAGCGCGCAGACAATCCAATTATAGCTTTTTCACAAAGGTATTGATTAACCGAGTGGCCATGCATCGGCCGGATCATGCACTGTCTTGTGTTATGAATCAACCATCTGCATCCTTGTTAGTGGCAAGATTGCAGCGACGTCCAAGACCATAGGTGGTGGTGAGATCTGTAGATCTTCTCAACGCGCATCGTAACTATTGATAAATTGAGAGCGCCAGCCGCATGCAGTTGAGAAATGACATTTATTGATCGAGGAAGAACATCTTAGTTGATGCTTCAGGGTTCTCCTAGGATACAGTATGTAGCCATCTGGTGATCTTTCCAGTGATTGCAGCCTGTCCAATCCCAATATCGACTTCTTCGAGTACGTAAATAATTTGTCAATTGATGTTGCTCGATTTGCTCCGGTACTTATGAAACAGAAGTAAAACAGCCGTCGGAGTCAGTGTACAATTGTTACGAGACGGGCGATCCTAAATCTCCCCATCATCGGAAATAAAGGCAGCCGCACACGAACAGCCCATATTGTAAACTCTTTTGAATGTAACGTCATTGTTTCAGCAGAGATAATGTTGCGTAAAGTTGGAACATCCCGGACATCGCTTAGAAGCCAACCTCCATGATCGACATCGGCTACCGATTTGGCGAGCGGCACATCGTGAACTATATTCTATTCGCAGTAACAAGTCATAAAGGGAATCGCGGGAACCGAGACCAGAGCCACAGGTATAAATTGCTCGACCCAGCTGTCTAGGGAAGAGTACAAAGCACATATTCGGTTGGCTTTGATTCTTCCTCAGTAATCTCTTCTTCACTTCAATATACGCAGTCTCTGACAATGAAGACAGCCGTCGTTCTTGCTCTTATCCCCTTCACGCAGGCCCTCGTTGGCCTGAGCTGGAGCGTTTCCAACACTCCCTCCTCTGGTCTGAAGGACATCACCTTTCCCATCTCGATGACCGATGCGCCTCATAAGACAGGCTTCTATTTCGCCCAGCAATTCGCCTTCAACGGTCTCTCTGATGTCGGGTATACCGGTCTGCAGCCCCGTCCCGATGCCTCCGGTTCAAGCATCGTCCACGCTGTTTTCTCCTCCTTCGTGGCTGGAACCACGAGCACCGACCAGAACTGCAGCGATGGCGCAGACGGCGGTGCAGGTGTCAGCTGCAGTGTGGAACTTCCAGCACCATACGCTCCACTCTATGACCTCGTGGTCAAGAATACAGGTGGCACCACCTGGAAGGCAACCCTGGTCGACACCGCGAGCGGCAAGTCGACACATGTCGGCTCGTACACGTTGCCGAGTGGAGCTGGAGGAATCAAGAGCGACCAGGAGGGTTTCGTTGAGTATTATCCGTGGAATGGCATGGCGAGCCATAGCTGTAGCTCGCTCCCGTATACCAATGTCACGTTTGGAACGCCTAGGACGAGCACTCCCGGGGCCGGATCGGGTCAGTTGAACAAGCCATACGAGTATGGAGATTGCGTTGGAACGGCGAACTTTGACGTTCAGAAGACAGATCGGGGATATCAGGTGACAGTTGGCTTTTAGAAAAGAAATCCTGTCTGTTAGATACCGGGAAATCGCCGTTCACTTTCGTTCGAGTTTGTCACCAATTGGATCGCAGTGGCCTCTTTTCCAGAATTTTAACTTCTCTGTACCCGTCAATAGTGCGTACAGCAGGACCATCCACTCGGAGGGCTGATCACCATGTCTCTCGGGCATGAATCCACTGAAAGAGCTGCCCAAATTGGCCCATTGTTCATGCGGGTCATCTTTCATTGCTTCCAGTATAGGGGTACGCAGCTTTCGGTAAGTGTTTCTGATCAGAAACACAACATTGTTTAGGTTTAGCACCAGAGCATACGTGCCCAGAGCCAGAAGAGCAGTAACAATGGCGAATGCCACGGTGTTGAAATCTCGGTTGATGCTCCATAAAGCGGCGCAGTAACTTAGTGGGAGATAGAATATGCTTACGTATGTGAGCAGCTTGACGTTCTCACCAAGCTGAGTAGCAGCTCGCGATTCGATGACAGCGCTCGCATTGAATAGCTACTTCAAGTCAGCAAATAACTGGAACACGATGAGGCGGTACTTACTCCATCTCGTAAGGTCATGGTTCGATCACGTAAAGTTTCCAGCCGGCTCAAGATTTCTCTCAACCGTGCAACATGGATATCTACCCTCTTGACTGAATCTTCCAGTAGCGGGGGATTTTGAGGGGGCTTGGGAGATCCCAGTTCAACCTTGGTTTTCCGCCACTTGTCCAGATAGAAGGCCTCGTAGTCTTCAAAAACGTCCTTTCTGGCCCACCAATACACCTCCCACTCATGAATGGCATCGGATACAGCGGATGTGAAGCCCTCTAGACTGTCCATCAGCCAGAAATAGTACCGTGATCGGGAAAATGAAGCATCATCAAACAGAAAGCGATCATGAAGATCAGGATTGAAAACACTATCGTTCTGGTTGAGGACAAGGTCAAAGTGGTTGGCAATCCGGTCCCAGTCGTTGGCCGCGTTTTGCAGTGCCTCTTCTATCAGCGTGATTGCTGTGGTGAATGGGGCAGTCCGTGGGTCATCCTGCCTCCGACGGTGGATCGAATCATCCAAGCGGCGAAAGTGCGATGGTGCCAGATGTATAAGACACCAATGACTGCGATCCACAGTCTCTGTCTTTCCAGTCTGAGTATTCGACCAGAGGGTCCGTTGTGATGGTATGAAGCCTAATGTGAAGGCGACCTCGGACAAATGCAGCTTGCTTATTGAGGCCTTTGACCCATACAGCTCTCCCGACCTCCATGTCGACTTACTTGAGGGCTTTGTGTCATCGATTCGGCACCAAGTAATGTGAAAAGGTTCGGGTGCATCTGCCGAGTCATTGCGCGATCTCCTCCGTTTAACACAGGAAGTATGTGTCCTCAGAATTCCAGGCACTAGATCCGCGTATTGAAACTTTTCACCAGTAGAACTCCGAAAGAGGATGTGACAGAGCGCGTCAAACTCTTCCTCAAACGATGGCGGCACAGCGTTCAAGCCAACGCAGCTAATAATGCGATTCCAATGGCCCGTTTCTCTCCACTTGACTTCCGTTGGCTTACCGTTTCCGCTCGTGTAGTAAAACCGTGTTGGTCGGATGTTGACTTTGCGGAGGTCTGCCTCCAGGGCAGGGACGGCCAAAATCCTTGGATCCTTACTCCTCAGGATTACTTTCCATTCTTCAGGGTATGCAGTGATCCGCTCATATATGGCCGCGTGCATCCAGTCGTCCAGATCAACAATCTGAACACGACCGTTGCTTGCCTCCAATGTCTTAAAGAATAACTGGAGCCGCTCCAAGTGCGAACTCAGACTAGACGGGCTGAGATTCCTCAGCTGACATCGATCAAACGCAAATTGCACTCTGCCGTCGCATGGGACAGCGTAAAGATTCCCCAGAGATGTCAATAGCAGTTGTATCGTGTCGACCATGTTCTTCCCAAAACCACCATGAAAACCTGAGCCAAGCTCACCTACCCGTTTGGATGGAATGGAGGTGCTACAATTGAGAGAATAAGGAACCAATCGTGCTTTTCCACTGTAAATGCTGCCGGAAGGAACATGAACTTCGTCTTCCAATCTTTCACCGTCGATATGGCACCATCCATCGCGGGTACGCTGAATCTCCCATTCGGGGATATAGTCAGGGTATCCTGCTCCAGGGTAGGACTGATACTGCCCCGGATGGGATATTCCTGCGGGGGCAACAGGCTTCCCTGGCGCACGTTAGATCGATACTCTCGAACACAAACATGATTGATTCTCCATACTCACAGTATTTCCATGAGGTGTCAGCGCTTAGGACTGTTGACAGTCTGTGGAGACGGGGTCGATTCCCTTCATCGACGAAATAATAGATGCGAGGATACTTGAGCGTTTCATCTGCAGCATAAAGAAGAGTCTGCCCTTGACCTTGAAACTCAGAGTCACTGTCGTCACGTTTCAGGTAGGATTTAAGTGAGGTTTGTGACTTGTTTCTTTTATCGCGCTGAGGTGCATCCTCGATGGATAGGTCCCTTTTATCGTCATCCGGGAGATTATATTCATTCGTACCCGTCCCAGTGGCTTTATCTCCCCCAAGAAGAAGCTGCTGGAGCAGTCTATTTTGGATATGCAGTCGTTCATTTTGCTCTTTGAGCAAACCTCGTATCTCGCTCCACAGGTCGTTGGACAAACCATTTGAGGGTCGTCTGTTCTCCATGACTCAGTAAAACCATACATGGAGGACCTGATTTGCGCATGTTATAGGCTCAATTTCTAATAGACAGACAAGTATCAGAAAAAGCTCGAGGTGACGCGGATTGAGACTGCGACATTGAACAAGGCTGAGACTCAACGCGTGACTAGCCTTATTCCCAAAATGGCAAGGCTGCTCAAGCCACCGTTTATGTCTTTCTCTCATGCTGCTTCACTCTTCCTGGACAGGACAAAAGTATCATCGATACATGAAGCACTCTTTTGAACTGATGAAGCAAAATTACTAGATTAAATTTTCATTGCTAACACCACAGTATCGCAACAAATCCATTTATCTATCTATCAGGACAAACGAAACCCACTGGTCCGTGTCTGGAAGAATCCTTTAGGATCATACCTGAGTCTCGTCTGCAGGGCCCGATCGCGTGTCCGAAGCCGACCCCAGTAGTCTTGGTCAGCGCCAATGTCATTCATATACAACGGACGATAAACATTCGGCAGAGTTCCGTTAGCAATGTTCTCCGTAATCAAGCGACCAAATCCTTTGAAGAGCTTCTGCGTGGCATCGTGCATCCGAGCGTCGGACAGCGCCAACGTCCACTGCAGGGTGATCTGAAGGAGAATATAGTCCTGGTCAGGGGGAAAGCCAAGCAAATCCTAGAATTCCGGTCAGCAGCGGTTGGTTTGAAACGTATGGGAAATAACTGACTCCTCCGAGCTCCAAGGCTTTCTGTGCGATGCTCCGTGGGAAGGGCTGGAAGTCGATGGTTCCCACCATGCCGGTCTCCAGCAACACCTCGTTGTTTACGTCAAGCCAAAAATCAAAGATGGACTGCAAAACCTCGGGCGACATGTCTTTTGGGACGGGAATGGTTTCACCTGCAATGCTGTATCGGCTTCCGCTGTATGGCGTCAGTGCTGAACGAGTATTTCCGGACTCGCAACTTACTGAAGGATATATTTGTCGCCGTTTTTCAGCTGTTCGAGAAGGTCAGACATGGGCAGCGCATTTCCAAATAGATCTATCACCCACCAGGTCGGCATAACTGTCATATGTCCGGGTTTGATCGATTGGATGCAAGGCAGTAAAGTTGTCAAAGATACCCACCGGGGGCTTCTCTCCATTATAAAAGAGGAACATGACCCAGATATCGAGCAATGGTGCGTGCTCCCTGGTCAAGATAATTGAAGCCTTCTCATCCGGGTAGTACTCGACAAAATCCTGCAGCGCAGCAAGCATCTTCGCCGTATCCACCCCAGAGAAGATGTAATTTCCTCCCCAAACGGGGTGATCCATCGGGCGTGTCTGGACGGTATACGAAGTGACGACCCCGAAAGAGCTGCCTCCACCTTTCAAGGCAGCGAAGAGATCCGAGTTCTCCTCTGCATTTGCATCGACGATCGTGCCGTTTGCCAGCACGACCTCGTAGCTGAGGATATTGTTCGCTGCCCAGCCATACTGCGGGCTGAGGTAGCTGAGACCACCTTTTCATCTGCTCAGGAACCACATTCATATGAGAGCAGAATCAAGACTCACCTCCTAGAAGCAACCCCCCAACGCCTACACCTCCTAGCCTCCCGCCGACAACTGCCCGCCCTGTTCCCTCTAACTTCCCCTGCACATCCTCCCATCTCTGCCCCGGCCCGACAACAGCCGTCTGGGTGGACGGGTCATACACCACCTGATCGAGATTCTTCGTGACGATCAGCAATCCGCCCTGCGTACTTGAGAAACCAAGGTTAGGCGAGTGACCGCCCGATTTGACCGCGAATTGGTCCTGCGTGTAGCCCAGTGCGGTGATCACATCCGACATCTCCTGGGCATTTTTTGGCGCAACCATGCATTCGGGATGAAGATCCGAGCATGCCGCTGACCAGTAGTTGGTCAGGTCATGGGCATACGACAGCGAGAGCGGATACTCGACCTGAAAGCCATGATCGGCCAGGACGGAGCAGAGACTGCCCGAGTTGCCTGTCAGGGCGTTGACAAGAGAGTTGACCAGCGAGGCCATATTGCGGTTATACTATAATCTACAGAGTCATAACCGAGTGGTCAGCGACATCAAGGGGGCCAGCTTTAAGTATGGCAATGCCCGGCAATGAACCATCAGCCAGTCCACTCGATAGATCACAATCTGATTCTGCACCCGCTAATCTTAGAACCTGCATTAGCTCTGGATTAATGACTAAAACTTGATATGGGTTCATCGGGAAATGGAATTGATCGCCAGTCATACTAGTCTCGGCATGCGAGTCTTGGGCCAGACTTCTTCGTCGCACCCAATCATGCATCGTTGGTCTTCATTCCTTCGGATTGATTATGACCAGTCAATTGATTACCCCCCTCGGTTAGAGCAACCATTGTGACGCTCAGGGATGAAATTTGAGGGAAGGCTGGTACCCTACCCCACTTGCTCGTAGGACCGTAGTTCATTGATGGATGGTTCTCTTTGCCTGGACATTTAGCCGCTGTACGAAACCCTGGTATTTCATGTCTACTGTGTACATATGAGTCCCAGATGGCCATCATGGTGATGATGCTTTGTGCCTCCAAATACGAGATGGTCTCGACAGTTTAGACCCGGCTGCAGTGATAGTCAGCTCCTAGTGGCTTGCGTCGGCTGATTCTACCAATCAGTAAATCTGACCATAGACTAACTGTTCCTCACGCTACTTAAGAGCGGAAAGGACTTGGATCCTATTGCCTGGGATTCCTGCTCAGCAATTAAATTAGGTAAGGATCTCTATGTCCTTCCCTGCTCTGTAATCCCTTAAATCTCTCTTCATGCATATATTTGAAAAAATGGCCAGTCCTATAAGCAAGGAGGAACTAATAGTCACAGCTTAAAGCATATATCTGCCGGTTTCATGCCTAACAATGTTCCCGTCCCCCATATGGAGTGTCATGTCTTGCTTTGATATATTAGAGTTCCACCCAATAGGCTGCACTTGGATTTCTTTCTCTCTGAATAGCGAGGCCTCACGTCAGTAACATAGATAATTTCTTAAGCCAGTGGCTATCCCTGCGCATTGTTTATCACGACCTTAAACAGCGGAAAATGAAAGGAAGATAATTAATTATAATGCTATATAGAATCAGTAACAAAATTCGATAGACTAGAGTATTATTATGTAAATATTAACAATGATGTAAATAATAAGTCCTAAGGCAATAACATACCTACCGTATCCATGGAGAATTTCGAGGTGGTTGTCCCAGTAACTCAATATGAGGGCGGACAACCTCGATGGAACCGCGACAACTCGGCTCCTGGGAATGGACTGGGCCGACTGCAACAATCTGTTCCGATGCTGTGAACACTTGGCCTCCTACTTGATATCAAAGAGTTTCAGAGCATTGATCCAGTCAATCGCAAATTGTCAATCAAGCTCATCCTCCCATGCAGAAAACCGATAGCCCAATCAGACTCCCAGCTATTCATTCAGTGATATTATTTGGACACTGCGTTCTGGCGGTATCCTACGTATGCTGACTTGAGGGTTCACACCCGCTCTTTTCAAAGATGAGAAGAGATGTAAGCTGCACTAACCTAATGGTGGTAGCTGAATGCAATTCAATGACCCATCAGCTTCTGGGCTGCCATTTAAGAATGAGGAAGTAGTCTCATTCGCCCTATCCACTGATGTAATCAATATTTAGTGTTGATCCAATCCGAAGAGTCGCTATATGTATTTGTATCATGGATCTTCTAATCTAAGTTTGGCATATTGATCCACAAACTCGTGAAAAAGCTTGTTAAGCCCAAGAAGGTTCAAGGGATCCTTGTCATCTTCTTCACTCATGAAGCACAGCATGTTGTGAATGTCAAAAGTGATTGCCAACATATATCCATACTCAGATTCCAGGAACACCTGGTCTCCGGTATCTGAATCACCCGTCAGTCTGTTCCACTGTTTGGCATATTCCTCGCAGAAGTGCCTCTTCTCCTCTTCTGTGTACTTTCTGCAACTTGCTATCCTGCTCTCCTCGTCAAACCATTTGAACATCTTCTGCATGAAATGCCCACCAATGTCAAACGCTCGGTAGTTCTGCATCACAAACTCAAAGTCAATCAAGGCAACTCTGCTCTCTCCTTCCTTCGGATCGTTCTTCACCATGACGTTCATGAATTGCACATCATGGATACACCATCCTGTCTTTCCTCCTATGGAATCCAGCTTGTCCACCACTTTCCGCAACCTGGTCCCAAAATCGTAGTTGACCAGATCGTCCACATTGACACCTCCTTCTTGACCAAGGACCTTCAACTTGCCCATCTCGTGGTACTTCTTGAGTCCGTTGATGATCGCTTCGTAGTAGGGTTCCACCGCCTTTTTCTCCAGAGGCATCTTCAAAACATGGAACTCTGCCAGTGCTTTAGCAACATCCGCTCGGATGACCGTATTCTCGACATCCTCCGGTTCCATGTTACGTGCATCGAGGAACTCATCGATCCTCCCGAGCGTGCCATCCTGTGTCTTGAAGAATCCGTAGACTTTGGCTCCCAGGCCAGATCGGCCGTACTCGTAGCAAAATAGTGCTTCCTCGTGCTTGCTCGGTACCAGATGCTTGAAAGTTTCGATATCGCTCCCAGTGCCAGTATGAAATTTGATGAACACCTTCAAGGGCTCAGCAGATGTCCCAGTCGCCGGCATCGGTCGCTCGACGGGACAGTGGGCGTTGGCAAAGGATGCATGGTACGACAGGGTCAGGGACTCTGGGTCCACGGATGGCCATTCTTCTGTCAGGAATGAGCCGATAATATCTTTGACGTCTTTTTTAGTAGGAACTTTGTCTTGAGGAAGAAACACGGGAACAGCTGTCAAGGTGACCATCTTGGTTTGATGCGTGAAGGGTGCTTGGAAACAACTGTAATAAAATATATGCTCTCAGTGGAATGATTCATTAGGGATGTTTACCGTTTCGGATGACAGTGCTACGTCTCAACTCTCAATTATAAGAATTACCGGTCCAGCACTGAAGCTTACGGATCTGTGATCCACAGGACGGGCATCGGGGTCTCAAAATGTCTAGCCCCAGTACTTCCTTCTTGTATTATGTGCAACCTTTAACCCTGGAAAGAGACAGATGCTGTTATTACCCAGAACTTTGCACTACCAGATGTTTTTTGCTTTTATCTGACCTGCCTCTATCACTGATTCTTAATGACGCATGTGCACTATAATTCCTGTGGATATTTTTGATTCTACATTCGTTGTTGCACTGGGACAGAGTTTGGGCCCGGCTTCGGCGTATCACTCCCCAGTCCCAGTCGATACATCTAGATTACTCTTCCTAGAGATTAACACTGGATCAGCGTGTCTCCACCAGTTCCTCACGCTAGTCAAGCGCCGAGAAGATTTGGACCAATCATCTAGATTTCTCCTCCACAATTGAATTAAGCGAGGGTCTCCGTGCCTTTTGCTTGAGGATGATCGGTTTCGACGGGTAGTCACTACAGGATTTATTTATTTCTCACGAGTTCTCACGCTGGCACCGGGTGCAGCCGTTGGTAATGATACAATCGCTGAAGCCCGTCATTTCGCCAGCGTTGATCTCATCCGGTAACGAAATTGATAGTCAATTACCTCGATATGAGAGCGATCGTTGATAGCTCATACAATTGTGTAATATCTACTAATTCAAAGATATCTGCGATCTAACAATGTAACTGGGTCTGTAATGCCAAGTTTTTCGGAGCTCGCGTGATCAAGCTTAGTGGCCTTGTTGCACTGCCAGGCACACTAGCAATATCAAAAGTCCCATGACGTTTTCTTGTGTAGTGGTGGTCTCCCAGGAGTGTCAGAGTAGGCATGTTGAGTTGAAGACATTCGAGACTTCCTTTGCGCATCGATGTTTCGAGGACTGGCCAACCTGCGTTGAGTGTGAGAAGGGATTCCTAGGACGCCTCTGGATCGGTCGGATGAAGACCGCATGATACAGACAGTGACTGGCAGATTTGAATCTGTCTACACTTGTACTAGGCCCGCTGCGTCTTTTCCGAGTACTGAAAGAAGTTGTTTTGACACTGAATGCTGACCGGGCATAGTCCCGCCCTTTTTCTTCTGGGATGATGTCAGCCGTCTCTATGTGGATTATGGAAGCGTCGATCAAAAAGAGACGGTGGATTGGCTGATATTCTCCCCAAAAATGGAGCGAATAAATCTATTTCCAGCGTCTCAGATCTCGCGGACTGGGAAACAAAGCGTGCTGTTAGGACAACGTCCACAAAGTAATTGATACCAGTCGCCTTGTTGCTGAATTTTGGAGAGTTGACCGTTCCATATACGCCGGGGATCGTGTCTATCCTTGGATTCCTGAGTGATTAAAATGTTTTTCAGATGCTCCATAAATACTACATCACGAATTTGACACGTACCGGAGAAGATGAAATCTTGCCTCTATTCAGACAAACAACAACGACACAGCAACAGAGGATCGAGATCACTCCCATCAGGAAATGGTACATCAGGTTGATCCAAGTGATAAAGGACTGACTCTGCAGTAACTCATAATCATGCAGGCAGAACGATCCTTTGTTAGATCGCCTAGAGCAAGCCATGAAAAGGTGGACGACACTGCACACCATCATACACAACGCCGAGCCTTTCTGAAGCTATCCAGGCGGATTATGTCGTCTTTCATGGTGAATGATGATAGAAATTCTGCGTGATTAAATGGTCTCTTAGGATTTCTGCTTCTACATAGCTCGTCAGACTTCCGTTGCATTCACATATGCCACTGCGTCTAGGACTATAAAGTCTCGACACTCCCGCTCAACCTTTTTCCCCTACCAGTCGAGCAGCCGACGTCTTCATGTCAGTTGCGACCTGAAGGAAGTGCTTCCGCTCAGCAAGATGGTCTTCTACGCCTACGCCAGCTCAGGGGTAAGCTCTCCTGGCCAAAAATGCGGTGCTCCGACTAACCAACAAAGGGCTTCGCTGTATGGCTCATCACGGCCAAGGACAAGGACACCTTGGATGCCTGGTTCCGTGCCATGGAGACCTCTCAGTTCGGAAACATCGCGCGAGTCAGCGCTGAATGGTACCGCTACCAAAACTTCCGCATCGAACATTCGACCACCGACCATCACCTTGCTCAGAGATTCGACGGACTGATCCTCTTCAAGCCTTTGTATGGCTACAATGATTCGTGGCACATGATAAATAACGGACCTTTTGTGGATTGCTTCCAATACAACTGGTAGCTTCCTCCCTTCTCTTCCTCATCGCAAGGTAGCTGACTTGCTCTCCCTACAGGTACTACATCCGCTCCAAGAAGTACAAATCTCTCTACTGGGACGTCCAACGCAGGACAGAGACGGAATCCCTACAGGTCTACGTCAGCACTAAATCCCGCGCTCGGTTCCAGGCCGTGAAAAGACTCTGCCCGAATTACGCGCCCACTCCGTCAGATCACCTCATTCTCGGCGACGATCTTATGTATCTTCAGCATGAGTCCGGTTCAGTGTCGTTCATCCGGACCGCCAAGGGGCCCTTCATCTTGACCATATCCGCTATTCCGCATCATTTCAGCATTAGCCAGCTCTGTAACAGTTTTGCTCCACAGTCGGACGACCGCATTGCCTTTGAGTTGGGTTGTGGCGCTGAATGGGAGCTGATGTATTAGCTGTTTTAGTTGTCTGGGAATTGGACTTTCGTTGAAGGATTGGGAGAATACTGCAGATGGGACATTCCGAGTGCTACTGCACAGTAGTAATCCGCCAGTTTACTACAAGAAAGTGAACAATAAAACGAATTAAAACCTACTGTCGAATTTGAAGAAACATGCGCTGTTTATCATTGTCATCTTTGTCTATATTTTCAACATGTATTTGCTATCCTTCCTCATGACTCCTTTTTTGCCCATCCTGGTCATTCCTCATAAACTGTACGTCTGTTACCGAATCCTCAACCCGAGCAGCGTTTTCACACCCTCTTCCCTCCCTGCATGTACACATATTAGCATTAAGCAGGGAATCGAGTTTCTTTCTGCTTCAGCCTTGTCCCTGCGTCAAAATTATCATATCCCTTCGCTCCAGTCCATCCTGCAGCCTCCACGCGAGCTGGTCCTAGTTCCGCGCTCGATCATGCAGGACTATTTGTGCACTGGGGAAGGCTCGATGAGATTCTGCCGGGAGTTACACGTAGATGGTGCGAAGAAAGCAAGGTTTGTAGTAGGATGTGGATACTACTGTGTGGGAGACAAGCAATTGATGCCTGAGGTATATTGGTGTGAATATCTAACTACACCTTCTTTCTCAGCGATGTCCCCTGCAAAACCACTCTCGCAGCAACAAAGAACACCACACTAGCCACCATCATTGCCCCAGCAAAGGCTTGCAACCCCCAGTAAGTTCCGTGCTGTCGACTCAGAATCGCGCCAGCAATTGGACTCCCGGTCAACGTCGCGATACTCATGCAGGTATACAGTACTCCCTGTCGTACGCCCGTTTTGCTCATATCCGCTGTGATCTGACTGAGCAGCGCTGGGACCATGCCGACGAATGCTCCGGACGCAAACCCATACAGCAAGCTGAAGATCACATAGACGGCCGCAGAGCCAGGGGCTAACAGGGTTCCAGGAATCCAGAGGACGAGGATCGTCAGCGCAGAAAGAGTACACATGGCGATCATGACGTTGAACCGGCCGAGTTTATCTCCAAAGTAACCGGGAAGGATCCGACCAGGGAGACTATCTTGTCAGTTTATATCTCAATCTGTGCAACAGGGTACTAACCTCGCGGCATTCAGAATCGTCAATAGATACTCCGCTAGACTCCGCCGAACCCCATCCTCCTGCGCCTCAAGTATCACATAGTTGATCGGCACAAACATCGCCCAGAAGCCACAGCAAGCCGCCAGCATCAACAGCACAAACGGCACCTCCGAGAAGGGTCCGATATAATCACTGAACTGCACCCGCCTCGGCACAGGCGCGATCCGCGAGCGAACGGTCATATTCGCGACAACCAGCAACGCCAACACCACGAACGCGGAGATGCGCAGCGACCATCCGAACCCAACCCGCGGCAGCAGTCGCGACAACATCGCCGGGAAGACGACGCCTCCTATCGACGACCCGCTCGACATGATCCCGAAGGCGAGCGCGCGGCGCTTATCGAACCAGGTAGCCGTGCAGGCCGAGGCGGGATAGAAGACGAAGCTAGCGCCCAGGGGGCTGCAGATACCCTGCGCAAGGAGGAACTGGTAGTACTCGCTCGAGACGGAGATCATCATGAGGCCAAAGACGTGCAGGAACGTGCCGATGAGGAGCATCCATTTGGGGCCGTAGTTGTCGAAGACGCGGCCGAGGACGATGCCTGCGGCAAAGAGGACAAATGGCTCGAGAGACAGGATCCAGGAGATACTTGATGCTGAGTACTCGCGCAATTGATTATGCTGGTAGTAATCTTGGAAGACACCGATCGCTATTTGGGTCAGGATTGTTATCTGTCAGTGACGCGGGCAAGCTCACCATTCACCCACCCGAATCCAACAAACAGACAACACCAGGCTCCTGCGACCACCGTCCAAGCATGAAGGCCATGGTCCATTGGCGCAGCTGACTCTTCTTTGGTTTCGTTCGCCGTCGCAACCACATCGTGCTTCACTTCTGCAGCGGGGCCAAGCCCCTTCTCTAAGCCAGACCCTCTCATCTCATCTTGGGAAGGCATCCTGGGCTGCAGGATGGATGATGGATATTCCACCCAGTTATTACAGGGGGCAGAAGTCGACTCCAAAACATTTCGCAAAACTTCAATCAGGAAGAAATCTTATCTACCTTAACCTTTTTGGGTGTCCGCTCATGTGCCTTCATTTTAGCTCGTATTCTTCTCCAATCAGCAGCGCACCAAAGTTGATCTTATCTAGTTGGAACCACGGAAACTAGGTATCCGGGGCGTCGGCCAATACTTGTCCACTTTACGATAAGGGAGTTATATCGCGGACACGACCCCAGCCTTGATCGATGTCTACAGCACCTTATCAGCCCAATATGCCATGCAGAGAAGGATCGTATTTAGGATCGTATTTAGGATCGTATATGGACGACTCAGTACTCATCTGAGGATGTCATTGTATGATGGGCATGCGTTCTAGAGACTGGAACCCGTGTCCTGACAGTCAACATCGAATGGAACACCCCTAGATTATATATACGCAACATGGGCGTAGATTACTACTAGAAAAAGAGCGTCATATCACTTCTGCGGATTCTTGTCCGCCTACATTTTAGAGTGGAACCAAAACCTGGCAAGGTTCTACATATACCATCCCGAGACGTCGATCGCACCATCAGGCTCCACATCTACAACGGCTCGAGATCCACGAGACCCTCACCGGTCCTTATAAATGCCTACGACAGCGGCTTCACACTCCGCGCATTTGGCATCGACGACGAGTTCTACCGGTTCATTCGCGCAAACAGGCTACACCGTAGTCGACGTGAAGCATCGCCTAGCACCTGAACATCCATTCTCCGCTGCGTTCGACGAGATCGAGGACGTGGTGAAGTAGGTACGGTCCCAGCCCGCAAGGTTTCGATCAGACGCATGTCTCGCTGTCCGGAATCAGCGCAGCCGGCAATCTGGCCCTGGCGGTTGCCTCATCTTTGCGGCTCTTCAGCACTGCCAAAGTAAATGAAGAATCACCATTCCATGCTGTTGTCGCATTCTACCCGGCCACGGACCTGTCGCAACCGACCACAGCAAAGAAGCAAGTGGCCAAATCGAAGATTTTTGATTCCAAAGGTATTTCCTTCTTCTCCCAATTCTGCCATTCGTGCTATCGCAATCCCCGCGAGGTCGACACGAGAGATCGGATTCGCCGTCATATGCTGATCCGGGGCGGTCCCCCAAGAATTTGCTAATTATCACCACCGAACAGGATCCGTTCACGATCGAAGGCGAGAAGCTTGCAGAGGAGGTCCGCATGGAGGGTCATAACGTGGTATGCCATTGGATGGAGGGGAGTATGCACGGCTGGGACAAGGAGGCGAAACGGGGGAGCAGGGAGTGGAAAGCTAAAGAAGAAACATATGGATATGCTGCTGACATGCTGAGGATACGGGAGAGCAGCTGTGATCCTGAAACGAAGTGAGAATGTTTAGCCTAGTCTATAGTAGGAATAGTCAGGGGGCATTGGGCCGAGGCACAAACGCAGTCAACAAACGCTCATTTACACTACTCTTCACTGAAAGAAGTCCTTGAAGCCGTCCTTGAAGCCTTGGAAGCACCAGCAATGCTCCGGAGGTGTGAATACAATGACTTGAACTCGAATACACTGGAAGCACTATTGTTTTAATTCTCAATGGCATGTGATGTGTAAACTTGCCGGCTGATGCTTATCAATCTAGTGCGGAGGCAGGAGGGGGATCGTCGCGATGCATGATCGTCCGCAGCTGAGGGCTCGAGAACCTTGAAAACAACTCTCTTGTCTTCTCTCTTGTCTTTTAAAATCTCTACTCTCCTTGATGTTATCTATGCCCTGAGCACACGTCGTATACTATAAAAATGCAGCTGGGAGCTATTTTGTTCCTAATTGGGACATTCCTGGCCTCAGCGGCCCAATGTTTCAACATCTCTCCACTGGAACTGAAATTCCCGCTTCTCCATCATCTGCGACTGCTGGATCATGAACCGAGTGCATCACTCAACCTAGCATCTTCGAAGACATTTAAAGAGCACAATTTCTCGGTGCCTATTGACCATTTCCACAATGAATCCCGATATGAACCTCATACTCACGACCATTTCAACATCCGCTATTGGTTCGATGCCAGTCACTACAAAAAAGGGGGACCGGTGTTTCTCATTGCAGCCGGAGAGACGGACGGTACGGATCGCTTCCCGTTCCTGTCTCAAGGAATTGTGACCCAGTTAGCCAAGACGTATAACGGTCTTGGAGTGATCCTGGAACACCGCTATTATGGCCAGAGCTACCCCTTTGCCAATCTCACCACAAAGAATATTCGGTTCTTGTCGACGGAGCAAGCACTAGCGGATTACGCTTACTTTGCTTCCCATGTTGTTTTCCCCGGGCTGGAGCACCTGAATCTGACTGCCGGGGCCGTGCCGTGGATTGGATATGGAGGCTCCTATGCCGGAGCTTTTGTGGCTTTTCTCCGCAAGCTCTATCCCGAGGTCTTCTTCGGGGTTGTTTCGTCGTCAGGAGTCACCGCGGCCATTGAGGATTATTGGCAATATTATGAGCCCATTCGCCAATTTGCGCCGTCCGACTGCGTGAGGAATATAGGGACTTTCGTGGATATTGTGGATACCATATTGATTGAGCACGCCAAGAACGAGACATTAAAATCGCACCTCAAGGCTGTTTTTGGTGCAAGTTCCTCCACTAGCGATGAATTTTTCGTGTCAGCTATCTCGGATGTCCTTGGAGCCTTTCAAGGCCGGAACTGGGATCCCGCGGTCGGCGATGGCACTTTTCAGAGATATTGCAAAACTCTCACAAGTCCGACATTGCTCTATCAGCAGAATAATACCATAAAGAGGTGGACGGCGCAGCTCATCTCGGCCACAAAGTATGATGCAACCAACTCCAGCTTGGTCACAGGAATGCTCAATTACGCCGGCTACGCGAACGCTACGATTTTCTCCCGTCTTGACCAGGCCGTCGGTATCTCCAGTTCCAAGTCGGGACAGTCCCTGGAAAAATCGTCAGGGGTTAGCTGGGGTTATCAGGTCTGCACCGAATGGGGATACTTTATGCCAGGGTCAAGCGTGCCGAAAGATCGACTGCCTCTTATCTCCCGTTTGATTACGCTTGCCGGGGTATCTCAATTCTGCAAGGACGACTTCAACATCAAGACACCCCCGGATACCGATCGCATTAACAAACACGGCGGGTTCAACTTCTCGTATCCCCGGGCGGCCATCATCGGTGGACTGGCCGATCCTTGGCGTGACGCGACGCCACTTGCGGACGGTACTCCACCAAGAGATTCCACAGACGAGGAGCCGTTTATCCTTGTTGATGTACCGGCCGAGGATGTCTGGGATGGAATTCGCGGTGCGGTACACCACTGGGACCAGAACGGCTTGTCTAAAGCAGACGTGCAGCAAGGGAAAACCGCACCAAAGGTCATAGTCGACCTCCACCAGGAAATTGTACGATTTGTGGGAGTGTGGCTGAAGCAGTGGAGAAAAAACGACGTGGATGTCTCAGATCCCACAGCGACCACGGCAGTTGGACCTGGACAGACGGTACTAGAGGGGAATTGACCCATTGAGTAGAGAGGCACTCAAGGTTGAAGAGTGTATAGAAGATTATGACGATATGCGCCTGGTGATAGTGTGACATTTGCAAGCTCCGTAACATGTGTTCAACAAGAATGTTTCACTCTGGACCGTTCAACTCCCGCAAAGAAAGCCAATCGGAGAGATTGACACTGCTGATCCAGACCAATAGCATCGACAGGGCTGAAACTAGCTTGTCAATGTCGCAATTAATAGCGTTTGTCCATTGGACTACGTGGGGCGGACACGACTCCCACAGCGTTGATAGGCTTTCCACTGCAACCGATCCTACCTTAGATCCCGGAGCTGAAAATAACTGAACCATCAATACATATTTCTGGAATACTCGTACCGTCTCCACATTAGCAATTGTCATTATGATGACAAACGGTCGGTGGATTAATCAAAGGGCGCTGGAATGGCAGAAGCCGATCTTAGTGCTCACTCACTTCTCCGTACTCTGTACAGCCCCAGCCACGCCTGGCATAGCAACGGACGGATATTGATCAATCCCGACCCTGGACCCTGGACAGTGCACCCGGGCACTAATTGGATATTTAATTTCTATGTTTAGGGCGCTAAGGAAGGATATATTGGGAGTGTCTCACAAGCGACGACCGCGTCTCACTCATTTAACTACCTCGCAGCGGGGTTGCTGCCTTCCGCATTAGCCTTTGTCGAGCTTACCGCGGCCGCTGATATATCCATCCACATGTGTACCCGACACACTGTCATCCCGCTCAGACGAGCTGAACTTTGAATTGTGGTCGCGTTCAACATGAAGCCGTTGGAATTGAAGCTAAAGCCGGAAATTCGCCGTTTCGCACCAATGGCGCTGGCGGCCGTCCTATTCTTCTGCACCCTGGTGCTCTTCTACGAGGTGATGCCGACCTCCCGGGGTGTGACTGTGCACGAGATGACCGGAAAACCAACGGCCGGCAGCCACGGTCCTAATCCCGGGCCATCCGGGAATAGCTCAAGCGACGACTTCCAGCATACCGACCGGCGATGCCACGCGCAGCCGGACCCAGGGAACATCCTGTTCATCGTGAAGACGGGCGCGACGGAGATCTACGAGAAGCTGCCGACGCAGCTGCTGACGACGCTGGGGTGCGCGCGGGACTTTTTGATTTTCTCCGATCTCGAGGAGCAGATCGGCCCGTACCATATCTTCGATGCGCTGGCGCACTTCAACGCAACCATGAAGGCCACACATGCCGACTTTGAGATCTACCGGCAGCAACAAGCGTACCAGCGCGGGGGCCTGGACATCGCCACGCTCAAGAACGACGGCAAGGCCGCCTGGACGCTGGACAAGTACAAGTTCCTGCACATGGTGGAAAAGACGTGGGCGCAGCGCCCGGACATGGACTGGTATGTCTTCATCGAGAGCGACACGTATGTTGTGTGGACGAATATTTTGCTCTGGCTGCAGAAGTTGTCGCCGAACAAGAAGCTGTATATGGGTTCAGCGTCGTTTGTCGCCGACCAGGCGTTCGGTCACGGCGGGAGCGGGTACGTCATTTCGAGAGCGCTGATGGAGGCGTTTGTGGGGAAGAACCCGGGGATAGCGAGCCGGTATGACGATGTCATGCCGAACGACTGCTGTGGGGATTTCGTGCTGGGGCGCACGATAAAGCAGGAGCTTAACGTGGGGATCCAGAATTTCTGGCCGCAGGTGAACGGGGAGAAACCGGTGACGCTAGAGTTTGGGTCGAAGCAATGGTGCCAGCCCGTTGTCACGATGCATCATGTTATGCCTCGGGAGCGCAGTGCCATTTTTGATTTCGAGCAGGCGCGCGATGATGTAACGGTATGTCTCAAGACCTCAAGACAGTTGATACAGCGCAGCACTAACAGACCTAGGTACCGCTTCTCTTCCGGGAACTCTCCGAGTTGTCATTTCCATCGGGAAAGATGCGCGTCGAGGAGGAGGACTGGGATAACCTCGCCGATGCGCCCGTGGAACTGGACAACCCATCGATGGAGGCCTGTCGTGACAAGTGCCTGAGTCACGACACCTGCTTTCAATGGCGATATAGCGAGAAGGAGTGCCACATATCGACCGAGTCGTTCCGACTAGGGACAAAACGACTACCCGAGGATCAACGACGGTGGTTCTCAGGATGGAACGTCCAGCGAATCCAAAAATGGCGGGATGAGCATCCATGTAAGAAGCCCGCGTGGGTGAAGCCACATTAATCTGTACATAGACAGCACTGTAGCAAGTATCATGATAACGAGTAATTCACTTCCATATCTATGACTTGTACTGGTAATACGCGTCTAGTCTATACCGTACGTATATATACTAACTAGTATGAAACCGCTTAATCCTCCCCAGCCGCCTCACAGCCCTCACATCCTCAACCAGCTCCAGACTATCATCGAGCCGCTCATTCGGCAGCACAATCGCCCGATCCAGCTGATACGGTAGTCCCCGATGCCGCCCGCGGATCATCATCGCACAGATAACCAGCTTGCTGAAGACGGAGAACTGTCCGCTGAGAGAGGTATTCACGGTGGGATAGCCCAGACTCAGACCCACGTTTGCGCTGTTCCTCAGTTAGGCACTGTCAGGATAGATTTCAGAGGGACAGTTACATACTACGCAGAAACGACCTCAAAGAAGATGGGAAAGACGGCGAATGCCTGTCACCGTCTGTCAGCTTGCCTCAACAACGGTAAAAGAAGAGGGGGAGGTGCTACCGGCTCCGCCGGATCCATGACACGATCCGACTCCGCGATACAGATACAAAAAATGCCTATGAAGATATACCACAGGTCAAAGGTAAGCTGGTTGCGGATATGGGCGAGGACATAGGAGCGGCCGTTCGACTCGTCGATGGTCGCCGCGTCGTCGGGGTAGATGCCGAGCGCGCGCTCCTCGTAGGTATTTGAGGCGCGGACGCTGATAGCGATGGGGTAGACAGCGATGTACATCATGACGAGCAAGCTGAACTGGACGGCGGGGTTGACGTTTGCGAGGTTGAAGACTGCGGTGCCGGTGTGGCGGGAGGCGGCGGCCTGGTAGATGGCGGCGAGGACGCGGGGGCCTGCGGGGAGGACGGTGAGGGTGGGGTTATGGAGGTCAAGGACGATGATAAGGATGACGTCGACCAGGTTCATGGTGAAGATGATGGCGAAGAGGACCCAAGTAGGTTTGCTGGGGAAGAGGAGGGTGTAGCAGCGGCGGGGGTGGTTAAGGAGGAAGGCGAGGGGTTCTTTCATGGAAGAGTGGCGCGGGCAGAGCTTGGACATGGTCCAGATGATGAAGCGCAGGAGACAAGGGTAGAGGGTGTTGCCGGCGTAGGCGAGGAAGCTCATGACGATCAGGGGGAAGGTTGCGTCCTGGAAGCTGACCATCGAGTCCGGGGTGAGGGTGAAGCCGAGGTTGTCTACCATTGTCTGGGCGGAATAAAAGGCCCTACTCATGCTTAGCAATCGTAGCGTACAAGGCAGACAGCAGACTCACCACCAGATCTTGCTTTGGCCACATTCGGCAAGGTATTCGCGATACTTGGGGTTTGCGTGCTGGATCCAACCGACCAGGCAGATTGCGCCAAAGAGATGAAGCCCGAAGAAATACCCTGTTCGGTCAGAGTTGATCTGGGCAATGAAAACGAAGACTTACCTGTGACGATCTTGAGCAACAGTTTCAAACTGCGGTACTCGATCCCTCCCAGCGTCTCCCGATCCTCGTCGGTCAGGTTATGGAATTGTGAGTTCCGGCCGATCGTAGCATGCGACGACAGTTCAGGCAGGTCCAACTGCTGCGAAAGGGACTGGTCGAGGGGTTGTGTCTGGGCCTTGGGGCCATGGCTGGGGACCGGGCCGAGGACAAACATTGTGGACGCAACTCGCTCCAGCGTGTTTGTCCGAGCCAGATTGAGTCGCCGGCGAGAAGTTCCAGCGTTGATCTGAGCGTCAGTGGATTTGGTTCGCTCTGTGACCGTCAGTTTTGTTATGGTCAGTATCCGGAGCTTGCCTACCACAGTCGCTCAGCTCATCGTCGACTTCCACGATGGGGTGTCCTTGATCTCGTTGCCAGGGAGGAGGAACATATAGAGCCCTGTTACGGCCAGAATTGTGCACATTCTCGGCAAAGGTGATGCTTGGAGATCGAAACCGGGAGTCTGGATTGCGCAAGGGCGGACTCTGCGACTCATTCGGAACCGAGTCTTGCCTGAGCGACATCAGCAGTATCCAGCATAACCAGACGGAAATCACTCACTTTTCTGTAGTTGTGGCGTCTGAAGTTGTGGCCGTCTTCGAAGTACTGTCCCCTCCCGCTTCGGCGTCATCTTTCCGTCTTTGCCGGAGAAAGGCAGGGGCTGTGTAATAGATCAGCATGCCTGCTTTAAGTGCGACAGATACGGATGCACACCAAGTTCCTTGAGGCGCTTTTCGAACCAGCGCAACCGTACAACCACCACGAGGATGTTGATGAAACCAAGGTTGCTGATGATGGGGGCCACGTAGATGTAGACCTGTTGATACGTTTTTAAGCGATTGACATCAACACTAGGCCGTGTCAGTATTTCCCGTCGCCAGAGGATCGAGCGACCAACGTGTTCAACCCGGATTCTGTCGAGGCACTGGCCCCGAAGAAGAACGCGTCGATGGCTCGAAGGTTGCCATATGGGTAGATGATGACCAAACTGAGGATGCTCAGAGTGATGATGTACGCATCTGCAGTCGAGTAAGCTTTTAGTCGCTCCAATTTCGGAAACTTTTACCGATACTGACAATGCAGAGTGATGAAATTAAGGGAGATGAAATTAAGGGAAGGCTTCCACATCCCTAGGACTTGCTCAACTGACGCACGCAACAAGGCAGCTGAAGGAAAAATTGGAGATGAAATGAAGACGCAGAACAAGAGAAGAATGCATTCTCTTTAAACCAAGCATCACTACACATTACACGTGGGGTGAACCATGTGTGTGTCGTTGTATAAAGCTAATCCTGATAAAGTTTTTCTTAGCGTGCGGGATTTATCTGGGCCAATCCGGGAGACAACCGCAGATATTGGAAGATATTTGCTTGTTTAGCACGGCAAATCCCATGCTGCCCCTTATCATTATTGGCAAAATCTTTATCTAAGGCGAGGTGTCTGCTGACCTGCATTCTACATCTGGTATGACTAAAACATGCGATCTGCAAGCCCTATTCCGTGATGTTACACATATCACAAATGATCCGTCATCTACAACCTCAACAGTCCAACTGTTCATCCCTCTGCCTTAATACCTTGACAGTAAACTCGACCGTAACCTGACCGGTTGGAAACCTCCAACCCCCACTGTGCTGACTGATGTACTGACTGAGTCTGTTGACCCCCAGCACCACATCGCAGACGAAAAAGACCAGATGTAGAGACCTAGAGCAATAATCAGCTTGCACCAAGAAATGAGCGCTTGACTCACATGATGACCATCTCAAACACAAGCCCCACAAGCATTGCCGCCTTGACCGCGTTTGCAAACCTGTCACATCTCGCCTCGAACCCTGGGGCTGGGAAACCGTGACCACGGCCATTGCATTCTCCCCAGTACGCAATATTAGAAGGACCAAGAACGGGGTTGAGCATGAAGAGGAATACGACCAACGGATCGAATATGAGGTTGATGAGGAGCCATGCGGCGCCGTTGGGGACTGTCAGTTTGAAGATGCCGAACAGGCTGACGACCGCGCATAGGAAGCTCTAGACGCGTGTTAGAGATGCATTCAATCTGGTCGAGGAAAATGCATACCAGAGGAAGCAAGGCTTCGATGGCATCTTTCATTCCCCAGGGGAAAAAGTCATAATAAGGCCAGAGTTTCACCACCAGGTAGATGGCGAGGTTGTACACGAAGATCACAGCGGATGTAATGACAGACGACCAGATGAGGATGATGACAATTCTTGATGATGACGTCCGTCGTGTTGTGGTAGAATTCTCGTCGTTGTGGTCATTTTGTCCTGGAAGGAGAGGAGTTGTTTCGTCCATGTTGAGCCTCAATGTGTTGGTGCATTGAAAGAGAGATCCATGGGGATGTGAGAGTCGGAGGGAGAGGTGGTCAAGCTGGTACAGTCTAACCTATGCTAGTTAATCACTCTAGGCAGAATCAACTGTTAGGCCTTTCGCAGCAATTAATATAAGGATGTCATATCATTAGCCATAGTGCCAGCTAATCCCTCCAATAATAACCCATGAAGAACATAGCTCCTATCACCCACTAGGCAGCTATTCCAAATGCATGTGAATGTATCATTTGGGGGTCCCCATATTTTTCCCAATAATAAACTCGGACGGAAACCAAAAGCAAGAATCGCCAAATTTTAACCCAATCCCAACCTTCTCTGTATGTTATTCCCATGCTTGTTCTGAACTTAAAATAGTCAGACATAGTTGGCCACAATTTTCTTTTTCTCATATGCTGACATGCTCTCGTTCACTGTTGCCCTTGATAGTGTTGACGATAGCGACAAGACTTAAATGCAAAATCGCTAGGCCAGCACAGCTGAACATGGACTTAGAAGTGGCACGAATTAGCAGTGACAAATAGGTGTGATACATTGATGATATGTGCTGATGGATCAAGGAAATTGTCTACTTGGAAATTTCTAGTATACAAGTGCTTATATACAGTGAGCATCTGGTGACTTCTAGAAGTAGGTATCCTTTAGAACGAGTATTGGGACTACAGCGCTGGAGAAGTCAATATACGCACGACAGAGGACCAAATCATGGGCCTTGTGGTTACTTATGAAGCACAATATTTGAAGCATGCTAACATCTAACGTAATCGGTAAGCGAGCCGCCACTGCAACCGAGCCGCCATCCAAGATTGGCTGGCTCCAGTAGGGATGGCCCTTGACGGCGAGATTGTCTTTGGATGGAATGGTTGACCCATCCGACGTTAGCATATTTGTTGCTCCGGTCGTGATCAGGTTATAGATAATAACATCTTTGTTGGTTTCCATGTAGACCAGCGTTCTCTGGCAGTCAGAAGAATCCACTATTACTGTCAGTATTTGACCCTTTTAGAAAGACTTCAGAAGCCGTACGTACCGCACGCTTGAGAATAGGTGGAAAACCAAGAATAGAAGCCAGCGCCAGCAATAAAGACGTCTTCTGAATTCTGAATCATCACTGCCCACGACTCGTCACATCCAGCCTCTCCAGCTTTGCAGCTAAAGGACGAATCGCTAGAAAACACACCAACAGTCATTGGCAAAGGGAGCTGGCGGCGTAGGAGTAGGTTGATAATACGGAGACTCTCTTTGAATCATGCCAGCGAACAGATATTTTGGCGTTGTTGTTGTTGTTGTATTGGTAGTATACAGAATGCTCTAATCCTGTGCCGTACAGCCAGGTTGCAGCAGTGCTTTCAATGAGGAAGCCTCGGGCATTGTAGATGGAGTTTTGAACCTGTGGGAGTGTCAGCCAACTATTACGCAATCTTCTTCTGTCCGTACCATGTCATTGCTGTCGTCGGTCCAGTTGGGATCGCTAGCCACTGTCAGTACGCGTACCACTCGCGGCCGGTAAACTCACTCTGTCATATGGTCTGCAACCCAGAGCTACACATTCTCTTGGTACTCGCTCCCAGTCGAAGTTATATGCATCATCAGACTCCCTGCAGAACATCCGCTATCGGTTCCAGACGTGGAACGGGGGCATTCCGACGGTGTCAGTCCAGTGCCCGTGGCGCCGCCCAGCCGCGTGTGACAGTCTGACTTTGTTAGCCAAATACTAAGACGTTTACTCAACCTCCTATGAAGCGTATCTATCCTCTATAAACCCTTTATGATTGCAGCCTTCTCTCATCCAAGTCCGAACGACCACGCGCTGAGAGCCCGCAGAGGAACATTGACAAGACTCTCTCACATCTGTTAAAGTTAACACGTTTTAAAAGGGATGGACTAGTAACAACATACATAATTGCAATATTTAGATTAAAGAGTACCAGATCAATCTTTTCCCAGCCATGCAGGTGGGGGTTTGGGTCATCTGCATAGTTGTAGTCGCTTAGCGCAATTGCTGGGATACTGATTCCTGCTAGAATACAGGCAGCAACATCAAGGAAGATTAATATTGGAATATATGATGGTTTTCGAAACAGTAGAGCCAGGGCCAGGACGTCAACAATGATTGCGAGGGAGGCCTGTATCTATTAGATAATCCATGATATATTAACTGTAACACCTACTGCAGCAAAAACAGTCCGATAGACCTTGTTTGAGTATTCTGGTCCCCATCTAGCAGCAATGTATGCAGCTATAGCCAGGTAGGCAATGGAACAGAGAAAAAGGGGCACGCGGCCGACGAGGTGGATCCATGTGATTGTATTAATTGTAGTGCGGGCCATGGTGTTACTGTGGTTGGCTGCTATGGCAGTACCAATGGAAATAGCATGCAGTGGAAATTGAGTGAAGTAGTGGTTGAAATTATATCCTGAAATTAAGATAACTAATGTTGTAGAGGACCGCTGACACAAGATACATACATATAGTTACTCAGGAACGTAGCATGTCAACCTGGGAACAAGAAAAACAAAAACAATTTAGTATTAGTCTCATAACCGTGACAGATTAAACATCCCTGTTATGAGCTAGGGACATTCCGGAAAACGCACATTACCTGTAAAATTAGGCAGTTTGGTGACTCGAAAACCTACGCTCTGTGCAAGACCCTGACACCACCCGCTATTTTACCCTATTGGAGGGAAATAAATCAAGAGTGCTGGGTGTGCGGACAATCATCTCGGCGCTTACTTAATCCCACTGTGTCTTATTAGATGGCAGTAAGTACTCTGATGCACCACAGCTGCGCCATAGGAAACCAATACTGAGTAACATGGCTTTGGATGGACTAGTCAATACCTGTTCAAATAATCACACCCAGGATGTCATGAGAATTTTTACTCAGACGTCAGGGCTGAGGCTGGGTCGGACTGGATTTCTCGCTTATCAGAATGTTTGCCCAAGCGTTAGGGCTGTCGAGTGTAAAACGGGGGAACATCAGCGCATCGCTCAAGAACTGAAATGAAGAGAGAGCTCAGTGTACTATACTCCCCAAGATCTCTTACTTAACTTCAGGGGCTACCATTGTGGCATCTGTGCAGTCGCAATGAGCGGACGGTCGATCAAAATGGTAATGGTCAAGGAGCAGAGGATTATGTTTTGTAGATTCCGAGCGTGGACGAGGATTGTTTCCGAACTTTATCCATCAAGGTATTGATCCTATGGCGAGCGGCGCGACTCCGGCGTCTGTCGCCTCACGGATTCTCGGATATTCTACTCTGTCAGTGTTAGCTCATTGGAGACAAACTCGGTCAGGCTGAAGTCGGCTTACTTATTTCCACATTCAGACCAACCGATTCGGTTTTGTGAGCACATATTCCAGCATGGAAAACGAATCCTGGATACAGTCGCCGCGGGTATTCGGCTTGAAGCCCTTATTTAGAAAGTCAACGGCGTGCTTCAGCCTGTCACGGATATCTTGGGTTCGTGGTCTATCCTCTGCTGTCAAGGACCAAGATCGAGAATGAGTATTCTCAGCCCAATGTGGCTTTCATGCGTCTTCCGTAGATGTTGGGGCGGTCCGTGGCGACTGGAACTTGACTACAAATATAAGCTAGATATGCAAGTTCTAGTTCCAGTTAAATCATGAATAGGGATATCTGGCTCCGGTTCACTCAGAGAAAAGTCATGATAAAGAATGGGCACTAAATCCCTTGTCATCTGCATATCTACTCATACATAGTATATAAGATAAAAAGCACTAATAGTTATTTTTACTGAAATCTATACAAGTAGCACCCTTGCTTTATAGCTAAGTAAAATAATTAGACTTTATATTAGCTAAATCTAACTTGTCAAGAGGCTGTTGCGTACCTCCATTGTATTCTCCCCAAGCTGAACACAGCTACGGTTAGCAGTATTTTGACCGAGCCCTTCTCATTTGTCAACACTTGCTTGACACGGGCTGACACAGAGAACAAAGCGAACTGATACCTCTGTGGCCAACAAGTGGTAGGCAGTCCAACCGATACTGTCGACTATGTCTTGCCTCGCTCCGGCCTGCAAAAGGAGCTTTGTCAATGCTTGGTGGCCTTGTACACATGCAATGAACAGTGGCGTCCATCACCGGGCTGTTTTGGGAGAGTCGATATACGTAGCCCAGCCGGTCCTGACCTCATTCCCAGTTCGGGCAGCCACATGCAGGACAGTCTCGCCTTCAGGAAATTACGTGTCACGGCTGGAGTAGGTAGATTATGTCTCTAAACTCATCTCTAATAGCTACAAATAGAAGTTCGTCCAGTAATGGAACCAAGTTGTTGGTTGTCTTTTGCTGCTTGTTTCTCCTCCCAGATCGAGAGCAGTCAGAAACATTATCCATAATAGCCGTATAATTGTTTATCACCGCGTAGTATAAAGGCGTATATCACTGAGAGTCTACCGATAAGATCAATCGTGGGGCGTAACTTCTATCGCGAACGAGGTCAGGCCCCAGGAATGATTCGCGGATGACTCGCAGACCGTATAGTGCACCGTAATGAAGACAATTGTGTCCAATGTCGTCTTTAGCCAGCAAGGAAGCTATCTCAATTACAAGCACTGCTGGGTTCGTCCAGGGCCTCGCTATCGGAGTCGACACTGGGGAAAAGGATAAGAACACTCCAGCTCCTGCTGCATCACACGAACTGCGACCAGCGCTTGGAGGTGGTCTGTCGGAAGATAAAAGTTCTGTATGGTAGTGAAGGCTGCCGTCTTCGCCTTCTCCTGAAATCCCAACCCCTAACCTTGTACCAGGCTCGTAGTACCAGGTTCTCCTGCTGATGGACACCACGGCCTTGCTGAGGGCCTCGAAATTGAGATCCCCCTTTATGTCAAGCTGTACTTGGTGTTGAAGCCGGAGTGCGCGTGGCAGACAGGGTATGTAGCGGAAGCGTGCCCTCCTCCTGTATAAATGCTTAGAGAGAGTCACTGGGCTCGGGGAAGACCTGGAGGAGCTGACTCTCCGGGCTACATTTCATGTATATCTTGGCTTGAATCTGACGCAACAGACGTTTGATCCTTTTGACAGAGATCATCGAAAAGCATCCGATAAGGTGTGATTGATCTTCAAAATGAGTCCCTGCTTCGTTATGCCAAGCCAGCGCCCCGACTAGTAAGTCAGGGGGTTTTTTTGGGTGGGGTTGCAGTCACAGTGCTTTGCTAAAGCCAAAGCCAGCCAACACTTGGACGGTTCTTTGGTTGTTGGTAATTCCCTCTTTCCCTCGCCTAAGTGTGTTCCTTACTAGTCTTAGTGATCAATCAAGGGAGCAAAAGCAAGACGCAATTAGTCTGGATTCCAGGATCGGCTACTATCGAAGTCTCGTCCGCTTAAATCGGAGAGACACCGGCAAAAGTCCATGTCTGTGTCTGATTGCCTTGGATTGAAGACCCCCAATCACTCTCGACAGATTGTTCTCATCACATCGACCCATCGTGACCATGGCCCAAGGTCGTCTTCTGGATGGCCTTTCAATCTTACCAGGGGCAGTCTTGGAGATGGTTCTGATGCAGCTCGATGACCTCGCATCTCTCTACAGCATATATCGCTCCTCACCAGCCGTCTTCTACTTGCTACACGAAGATGGCACCGCAAGACGCATCTTTCAGAGGATTATGGAACTTAGCTTTCCCGAGCAAACTCAAGTCTTGATCCGCAAATTTACATTCTTGCGATGGAATGTTCGTCCTGCTAAAGATCTGGATGACTTCACTGAAAAGTACATCAAGGATGACACTGGTTTCGAGTTCCCTCGCGACATTCCACTCTCCGTTCTCTGCGACAGTCTTGCCGCAGCAGCAACTATCCGCTACCTAGCCCATGCCGGCATGCATGAGATGATAGCTCGCTGTCAGCAGCTAGAGCTCATGCAGTTGCAAAATCCGAAATTGAAATATATCCGGAACGCACACCGAACGCCGGCTCTATGGAACTCGGAATACTTCCCAGTGCCAAAGCCTCCTAGAGAGCGATATCAACAAGCCGATACTGTTCCAGTATCAACAATCGAAGAGCAGCGGGCTATCCGTGCCCTCTGGCAGCTTCTACTCATTTGGGAGCTGCATAGCCTCGTCACAGGACCGAGTCCTCGCTGGAACTGGCCTTCCGAAGAGGTCAGCCGACTCCAAAACATACATTTCGAGGAAATATGGCGGCATGCCCTACGGAACCAGGACATAGAGCCAATTCGGACCGTGAATGAATGTAGCTGTCTGTTTCCGACCTTGCAATCCCCCGGAGAAAGACTTCGTGCAGCAAAAAATCTCGCGTTCACTGCAGGATGGAAGTTTCCTTGTGATTGCTCTGCTCCCAGCGCCTCTCTTGTTCAGGACATAGATGGTATGGAGTTTTGGCGTGCTGCACCAGGTTATTCATTTGTTCTTGGTAGATTATCCACATGGTTCACCTCGCCCTGCCGCTACGTGAAATTTCGCCCCTTCCGCCGCTATGGCTTTGCAATCTGGGATCTGAGGCGTATGCAGGGCCTGGGTCTTCTGTCGGCGCCAGCTGATTCGCCCCAGTTGCCTCAAGCTTCCAGATCGGAACCAGACCAGTACGTTAGGTGGGAAAGCATTCTGAGTCAGGAGGATCTGGAGGAGATCGAGCAGCGACGGAAACATTACTGGCCAGGGACTGAGATCGTATCCGTCGAAGACGCATGGTCATTCACGCCACGAGCTGAGGTCTGAAGCTTGAATATTCCTATTGCCAGGTCCCATTAGACTTCAAATTGCAGTGGATATTTAATAGTGTAATATACAGATAGTCGCCAATCCTGCTTGCGTCTTCCTCCCCCCTCCTCTACCACTTCGCCTATGCTTCAGTACATCTCTATTCACTTCAACCCCTTTCCGGTCCATATGTATCACTTCTCAAACATTAAGATGGTGAGTATCTAACATTCTCAAGGCCATGTTGGTGACTGGGTCACCACCCAATGGTTCTTTTGATCTGAACAGCGAGATGGAGGCGATAGTCTTGACTCCCATCTGTGCCTTGTAGTTGACGAGAAGCTATGCCACGCCGCTCCCATTCGGAGTTCCAAGAAGGGCATTGAAATTTGACTCGCCGGGTTCGAAAACTATGGGGTTTTTATACCCACCAATTGTCTGGCCTCCTGTGACCTGAGCAATCACATCTCCGCGTCGGTGTTCGCAATGCAACCGGATGACTGCCTGCAAGCCTGAGAGGCTCGTGCCCGCTGCACTGCACTCCTGCTGCCAGTTCAAGAACACCACATCAGACCACTGCTTGAGCTTGACGTATGGCAGCCCCTGCTCCTTGAAATGCTTTGAGATGGCCTCAGGGCTACAGTTCTCATCGGCAATAAGCAACCCATTACTCGGGCAATAGACATATGCGTAGCTCCCACCACTCACCTTCCCTCAATGTCAGTTGTGCAGGCAAAAAAAGAATGAGAGACCACATTAGAACAAGTCTATGCTATGCCTACATACCAGATATGTGATCCCATTGGCCTTCATCTCAGCACTCTGTTCATGCTTGAATGGCACACCCCCAGAAGTAGACATTTCCAGAACATTGATGATATAGCTGTCCAAGACATCCTCATACGTCTCCTCGTCATATCGTCTGGGATCGGTTTTCACCCCACCCCATGTCTCCAAGGAGTCGTAGTCTGTCCATGGACTCGCCACAGAGACCCCCGGCTTATAGATCTACATGTAGGCCTCTGCCCTCTTGAGCGTCGCTCAGCAAGCAGTAGAGGGCATTCCCCTTTTAGATCACAGTATCAAAGGTAAGCACATCAGCCCCAGTGGCCAAGGAACATGAGTAGAGAGAGGAGGACAAACAGTCAGAGGAAGAGACAGCTGTTCCATTGGACCCGGGCTCCCTTTGTGGTGCGCATGATGAGGAAGGCGGCAACCGGGGTGTTTCTCTGAGAGAGATGAAAGATGCCGTGGAATGATTTTGAGGAGATTCAGTATCTCAACATTGTCGAGTTATAAATCTAGTCTACACCGGTGTATTCGCCTACTGGTATCTACTGCCAGGGGTATACTAAAAATATTGAAAACGCCGAAAGTTGTTTCCATTATTTCCAAGATTTAATTGCTAAGTCTCCGTTGCTTAGTTCCTATTAGGGCCTGCGTGAGATTTGCTGTTTCAAGGATCATGTCCCTGAAATAGATTAGAGTTGTATTATACTTCTCAGCTTGATGAAATTGACCCGGACTGCGTCCGAATACCGTCCCTCGGTTGATTTATCCGAGGTTAGAGGCAATAGGGAGCTGAGCCTCTCTATGCTCATCCTAATACTATGCGCGTAAGGCACCGGTTGTTGAGACAATACCCTTACGGCATACTGTCCTACCGAGAGATAACTCTAATATAGAAGTAGATATCCTTTGAATGAGTATTGGGACTACAGTACTAGAGAAGTCGATATTATCATGATAGAGGACCAGATCATGGGCCTTGTGGTTATATATGAAGTAAAATATATAAAGCATGCTAACATCTGTACAGAGAGTGACATGAACAAATACTGCAATAGTCTAATTAATGCTAGATTCTCAAGACTTCCACCTTCCATTTCAGACGAAGCATACAGAGTTTATTTGTAGACATAGCATGGCAATGAAGTGTCTGCGCTCTTCTCATCAATTGATTCTGATGCCATGAAAATCCCTTGTACCAAATGTTGTAGGAAGAATTAGGCCGAATGTTGGATCCTTTGACCAGTTGTCCAGCAGTTTCCTATAAATACAGGATATGCACAGCTCTTTTATTCATGGGTATACAGCAATTGCGATCGCCAGGCTGGCATTGTTCTGTTCCTGTTCAATTGAACAAAAGCCATGTTTTCCTCAAGAGAAAGTCGACGCTACACAAACTCAATCCCTTACCATCTCAAGTCTATATTTATTCTTGCTCCCAATTCACCGCTCCGGCGCCCTCCGCGAGCGCAGCGCAAAATACTGCAGAACATACTTCAGCAGATAGACCATAATGAAAATACCACCCAGGATAATAGTGGCATCGCTGCACCGACGGCGGGATGTCGCTTTGTCAAGTCCTTGGTAGTAGTAGCAGAAGAGATAGTATGCTATAGGGCCACTCGCGGCGCAGATTCCGGATCTGATCTTGGTGTTATTTTCGTTTCTTTCGCGGCGGTAATTGTAAATGAAGGAGAACTTACATAACAATGATCTGGTCGACATGGTCATGTAGGCGCCAAAGGAGGGTTGTTGACTGGGCATTTTGTGGGGATCTTTCTGGATATGTGGGACCCTTTTTTCGTTTGCCTGTACTCATTTTGTAGTCTAGAGACAAATATTGCTGAACGAGAGCGAAGGAGCGGGAGCGGTCATGTAGTAGAATGTATTTAAGCAGTTCTCTAGCATTTTGGCCTCCACTTGCGCTGCCAAGATCATAACCCACGGGTATGCCTGCTGGCCGTTTGCTTGGTTGCAGATCGGCTTTGGTCACCTTTTTAGTCCAGCTTGGTGAAACTGCTTAGGAAGCCCTCAGAGTCATGTGACTCTTACATATAAAATTTTATTTTTACCTTGTACTACCTCTTTTAAAACCTTTACTACCTTTTACCTCTATTAACATGGCCATCCTTACTTTAAATATTAGTATTACTACTTATTAACTAATTAAATAGTGATTAGAAATAGAGAAAGCTGATAATTTACTAAAGAAATAGTATTAATAATATCTTTATAAGATTAAGAGTAGAAAATATCACGCAGTATACAAAATGTCTGAAAGAGATCTTATCTTTGCCAAGTGCTATCTAGACTCTATGCTCTGTAACGTTTCTAAAGGTTCTATAAGTGCTAGATATGGGACTGCAGTACTAGATGATTTATATTAAAGCATATGTCATGTATATTCACATGGCTTACGCAAATACACTCGCCTTCAAGCCGACCCCGGAGACTATTAACACTCTGGTTAAGTTCCATTAGGATGTCTACTCCGTGTATGCTTGGCTCGCACATGGGAATAGACCAGGATGTTAATAACTTTATCTTCTATACTGATGCTCTAGCTCTTGAAGGAATAGAAGAGGATGGTGCTGGTGAGCTACTCGGAGGCAGAAGTGATGTAGCTAAGGCAATGGTCAAGAGCCTCTTTATCCTGTTACAGCCTCCACATCCTGAAGCACTAGGGGGTTTTGCAGGGCCAGTAGCTTAAATGAGATGCACAATCCCTTCTCAATATCATCCTACAACCAGTCATAGTTGAGATATGATGGGTTACATAACAGTAAAGATAGGACTATTGTAAGAAAACTCCAGCTTCTGGGATTTCATCTAGTAAATGTAGTCTAAGGAGCGATCTTTCACATCTTAATGTTGTAATGTCTTACCTGCTCATCTAAAGATTGAGCTTGCAATTATTGAACACTAGGTATTGACACAGGGTAAAGGGAAATAAAAGGCCCCCTAAGTCATAGATGCCCCTGATTGACTATTAACAAACTCGCCTATCTCCCGTCGCAAGTTCATTCAATACTTATGTCCTCCTTAATAAGTTATTAATGTATTTCACCACCGAGTGGGCCACACCACCGAGCGGGCCACTGCTTCAAAAATCGACGCCTCTTACTGCTTCAACTAATCCAACCATCAACTATGCCTCCAAAAGCGCGTCAAAAGTCAAGAAATTCAGCTGAGCAAGAGGGAAGAATTATCCTTGCTATTTCTGCTTTAAAAAAGCAGGAAATCTGCAATATTCGCGAAGCAGCACGCGTCTATAATATCTCTCACACAACACTCTAACGGCAACTTGCTGGAACCACTTCACGCGCAGAAACACGCGCTAACAGCCATAAATTAACTCAAAATGAAGAGGAATCGCTTGTGCAATGGATTCTATCACTAGATTAACGTGGAGCACCTCCCCGACCATCCTATATATAAGAAATGGCTGATATTCTTCTTGCTGCGCGCGGTACAAGGCCTATTCAAACAGTTGGCATAAATTGGGCTTCGAAGTTCATTAGACGTCGTGACGAACTGAAAACACGCTATATTCGACGCTATGATTATCAATGAGCGAAATGCGAAGACCCTAAAATAATTAGGGAGTGGTTTAACCGCGTACAAATCACTATCATGTAACATGGGATTGCACAGGAGGATATCTATAATTTTAATGAGACAGGCTTTACTATAAGCCTAGTAGCTACTGCTCAAGTAGTTACTAGAGCTGATTACTATGGAAAAGCCTCTTTCGTACAGCCAGGCAATCGGGAATGGGTTACTTCAATTAAATGCATTAATTTAACTGGTTGGGCGCTTCCTCCATACATTATCTTCAAAGGAAAAGTCCATATAGAGGGTTGGTATCAAGATATCACACTCCCACGCGATAGTAGGATTGAAGTTAGTCCTAATGGATGGACTACTGATAAGATAGGCCTTCACTGGCTTAAAAATCTCTTCATTCCTACTACTTCTAGTTGAATGATGGGGAAATATCGCCTTCTAATTCTTAATAGCTATGGCAGCCACCTTACCCCTCAATTCGATCAACTCTGCAGCGAAAATAATATAATTCCTATCTGTATGCCTGCTCATTCTTCCCACAAGCTTCAACCGCTAGATGTGGGCTGCTTTTCGCCTTTAAAAAAGGCATACGGAACATTGGTGGAACAGAGAGCGCGTTTAGGAGTCAATCATATTGATAAATTTGACTTTTTAAAGGCCTTTCCAGCTGCTCAAGAAAGCGCTTTTCAAACAGAAACTATTAGAAATAGCTTCGCTGGCGCTGGCCTAGTTCCATTTGATCCAGATAGGGTACTCAGTCAGTTAGATGTCCAACTAAAGACCCCTACACCACCAGGCAGTCGATCAACCAATTCAGCGCCTAAAACACCCTATACTACTAGGCAGTTGGAGAAGCAAGCATCTGCAGCAAAAAAACTACTTAAGGAATGTGCTTAAAGCCCTTTTCCTTTGCTAGAAGCGCGATTAGATAAGATTATTAAAGGTCATGAAATGACAATTAATGAGCTTGTTCTTGCGCGGGACGAAATACGCAAACATTGCGCTGATAATGAATGGAAAGGGCAAAAGCAAAAGCACTCTAATAGACAGCTAGCTATAGCAGAGGGGCCAGCTGTTCAGGAGGGCCTAGAGCAATTCCAGCATGAGAATGAGGTCTATAATGCTCAAGATGTGCTTCCTATAGACCCAGCACTTTCTGGAACTAGGCCGCGCGTACGAGCGCCACCGCGCTGTAGTGACTGCCATAATCTAGGACATAGGCGATTGCAATGTCCTAATCGAGTTCCTAATTGATTTTTAGATAGAAATGCAATTGCTTGGTTGATAGAGGCTCTAGTATTTGGCCTGCGGGCAGATTTATGGATGCGGTGGCCCGCTCAGTGGTGTGGCCCACTCGGTGGTGAAATACGTTAATTATGCCGCACTCTGATTACAGTAGGCCACAGAAAGAGTGTAACATGAAAAGGGACCCTTTTATTCATTCTGAAGTCCTTGCAGTTAAACAAGCTATTGCATAATATTAGAAGCTGTGTTCCATTCCTTCCACCTCCAGGTTGAGTACCAAGTCTGTCAAAGTAAACAAGGTGGGAACTGACGCAAGTTGGAGTTCCCTAAGTGAAGTCCATACCTCTATCTGGTGGGAAAATTTTAAAAATATTCCGGTTGACTCGCTCTTCTCCACCCAGATAGTGCTCTAACTACCCCGTCTTGTGATTCCATGTCGGAGTCATACGATATCTCCGCACGTTCTTTTGTTTTGTTAAGATTCCTGTGGCTAAAGGGAGTGTGGTAGTCGTTCAATCAGATAGGCAAAATTTAGGTTCCGCTGCTCTTTTCCCGCTTCTTTTCGTAGATTAATGGAGGCAGCATCATTAGAAGCGCTTCTTCTTGAAGTTCACAGAGACCCGTAACGCAGATATGATCAGCCAGTCTTGTCATATCTTCTCGGGTTACAGGAGTGGCGTCTTTTTGTTTGCGGTCCGTCGTATCTTCCTGAGGAATGCCTTCTTGTTTGTCTCCCCAATCTGACTCGGCCAGCTTCAAACATTTAAAAAGATCAATGCATGTTTTTTGAGAAAACGCCCACAGGAACGCTGAGAAAATATGTCGTGCATACAACGTGGGAAGATCGACAGTTTCAACTATTGCTGGTACAAAATCTTCGTCTTTGGATTCTTCATCTTTCTGCTTGTCAGGAGTTGCGATAGAGTATGTCCCCAGCTTAACAAGAAAGTATTCATAGCAATCAAGAGCCTTAACGTCCGGCTGTACTGTGGCACGGTAGGCATCGTAATAGAAACTGGGTGGAGGAAGCTTGAACCTATCTTGGAATCCAATAATGAGATTTCTCTTCACCATAAGGTTCTCTGGCTTTCCATCCAGTGTTTCTCGTTTGCGGTTCTCATTCTTTTTAACGTAGCGCACTCTGTTGAACTGGCCAATACTCTTCGGATCCCAGAAGTTATCCAATCCATCTTTGATGCACCTGGGACCAAGAAAATGGATGCTGCGCTCGATCGGCTCAACCGGAGATTTGGTCTCCTTATCATAAAACAGCCAAAGAGATATGGCTGATGTTATGAACTCGGCGTTCGAGTCATGCTTGAGTTGCCATGACCCTTCATGCTCATTTTTGACAATGGACATTGGAAGATACTCTGTTCTTTTCCCATTACCCGCATCAACCGGAATGTGCCAACCAATCTCTGAAACGCCGTTCATTAATGCTTTACTCAAAGTATTCGCAACAATTTCAATGGCGCGGACAGTGGAATTGGACCGTTGTGTGGCTTGGCAATTCCAGTTGCAAACTTCTCCGATCCTCAAGCGCAAGTGCATCAATTCGTTCGTCAATGCCGATGGCTTCTCTGGGCTATGCTCCCTGGCATTGCTCTTATCTTTCAGAAAGTATGGCCACCGCCAGCCACCATGAACGGTCCATGTTGGTGCGCGATAGTGGTCGTTTCTTTTCTCCAGCGCATCGGGTTCTCGGAGTTGAACAACTGCCAACCAATCCATTTCATGGTCCTTATGTGTCTTCATAGTACTGAGGGGCTGCGGCATTGGACGAAGTCTGACTCGAGCTGCTGTCATAACAAGGGTGATGCCAAAAAGTGAGAGTTGAGTGGGATAATGCATGCCAGCGACTCCAATCACTTGAGCGGTATATCCCCCTCCAACACAAAGAACGATAATATTGCAAAGGAACTTGATAAGTTGACTGCGCTTGAATTCTCGGTGGTGAGACTCCAAGATCTCATCATCGATTTTCTGAACAACGATGTAAGAGGAAAATCTGTGGTCGTCTTCAAACCCGCGCTGGAGCCAGACAATGAGGCGTTTCTGGGGGCAGTTTGCACGTGGCTCCCAGATTAGTTTCACACTCATCTTGCTGATTTGATGTGCGCAAAGAATGAGGCCAAGCGTTAGCATCCCTGTGCCGGCAACAGTGCATACAAATGCGTATGTGAAGATGTGAAAGTTGGCTGATAGATGGTGGCTGTATTTCATGACAGCAGCCACTGTGAAAAAGCCTGCCTGCAAGAAGAATGCAAGTAGGCCTGTCCCGAATGAATTCTGTTTTCTGGACGGGGGGGTCAAATTTAAGCCTAGGTTGGGCGGATGTGGCTGGCTGTCATGATTGCTCTTATGCCCCAAGATTGATGAATGAGGAATCCCTGGACTAAGTTTCTCCTCGTCGAAATTCGAATTCAGTCCTAAATTCGGATTCAGTCTTGAATTCGAATTCGTTCCTAAATTCGGATTTAGTTCTAAATCCGAATCCGGTTTTCTTTCAGTGCCTGAACGATGTTACTTCTGCTTCTGACAATGGGTCGAAGTAAAAGAATACCACAAGACCGAAAGTATGTCGCTTTTGCTTGATCCGGTCGCCAGAGTGTCTCCCCAAGTAAAAGGAGTTCCCGAATCTGAGCTTTACCTTTAATCCGAGTGACTCTCTCGCCGTCCCACAACTCGCAAACGTTCTCTGATGTTGATGATAGTATATCTCGCTCAATTAATGCATCGTCTTCGGTGCCTTTGCCAATCCACTTTTTCAAAAACTTAGGGCCTAACACCCTGATAGCCGCAGCAAGTACCCATATAACACCCAAAGGCCCAACAGCAAAGGTGAGACAGTCAAACCAGTCAATTGTCTGACTTAGAAAGCCATTTGTGAGATCCTGGCCGAAAATCCCCAGGAAGCTATCCAGCAAAATCAGTTAGTGGACTTCTCAAGCGCATTCTGTACATCAGCCAACACATACGGCAGAATCTGTGTGATCACTCCAACAGACACGTTATCCAACGTTGATATGTTTGAAGCGGCTACAGGGTTAGCAGAAACTAGTAAAAGGCATTCTGCAGAGAACAGAAGGCAGCCCATGACTGTTGAGATTTTAAGGATTAAACTTCCCAGGTCAGGCAGGTTAATGAATACAACAGCGCGTTATTTTGATCTAGTGTTTTGAAGGAAGGCAGTTGGGTTTAAAGTGAACAAATTTGGATGTTTGGATGTGACATGGACTCAACCCAATTGCTGAAGCGATTGTTGTGGTAATCCATATCTGGATTAACTTGAAAGATGATAATCTTATTCCAACCGGACTCTGGGACCTTATATACCCTCTGCAACAGAACAAAATAAGGTCTGGTGATTCTGGAAAACTATGAGGTTTACAAGGTTGCGTGACAAGGTTGCGTGACAAGCATCAGATGGCTAATTGGGCCGAATCCGATGCAGGCAAATCTCGCATGATCTCATACAGTCATATCCCAAACAGATGATTGTTCCAGATCTGGCTGAAAACGGATAAGCATCCAACTTCGACGACGCAAACCACGGTTTAGCACCATGTTCAACAGGTCAGTAAATCAAAGAATCCCCCTTCGATATGTTTGAAGACTTGAAGGCTCTGTAGTTTAGGTAACCGCATATGGGTGCAATGACAATGCCGACCCGCAGATACCATACCCTCCAATTCCTGATCCAATTGAGAGATGCCATCGCATCTCGGTGGTGTAGGTAATGTTCTAGTCTGCGTGAGCCCCTCAGATGTCTGGACCCCTGCTATGGCGCGATTCTGATGTCTGGCCTTTGACTACACGTGTTAGCACGATGGCAAATGTAAGAGATCTCTGTAATCGTAACCCCCTCACACCCATTTCTACCGGCATGTAATCTAATATGCTATTTCATTTTTGTACACAGACTACCTCCTTTGGGTTCGCATTACGCTTCGGACGTGCTGGACCCCCCCCAGTGCAAAAGGAGAGATTTTTGCTAATGTCAGGGTATATCCCACCTTCTACACTGTGTCAGGACAAACTCATCAACACTAATGGCGTCTCCCCGGACCAAGAACTACAGTCCATTGATGCACGTAGTTTGTCCCGCGCAAGCTACGCGGACAGCCTCAAGGAATGGCTGCATGACGAGAGGTTCAAATTTGAGACGGTGGAGGATGTCGATATCGTCAAATTAACCCATCAAAAGCGGAGTAATGATGAAGCTGATCTCGTGCACCATGCAATTGCCCAGGGTATGAAACAAGAAGGATATACTCAGAAGTTGCTTTCAACTTTTATAGCAACGGAGTGACAGTGCTCCATCTGGGAGGCATTAATCAAACCCTCGCCGTCGACCCTTCGAATCTCAAAAAGCGAGCCAGGTTCGGACATGAGGGGTTCAAGATCTCGTTTACTACACGGCAAGGCTCGGCTCTCACAGCCGCTGACCAGGATGACATGGCTACTGCTATTGCCTTCGACTGAGCACAGCGGGTGTTTGCCGCAGAAGATTATATTGGGCTTGTGAAGGACGGTCACAAGGCTGACCTCTACTACCGGATTATTCCCGAGGTGCTGGGGTTTGGTCTGAACTATCAGACTGTGGATGTTTGCGGTGGAATGGCAAGCCTTCTGTAGGGAGCTATCCGTTACTGGTGTACATAGTCGTACCGATTAGATATATTCGCAGGATTTTCAAGGCCCTGAAATCTGTCGGGCAAATGAGCAGGCATTAGAAGGAAGAACCATTGATTCTAAGATTAACGAAGAAATTTGAAGCTTGCATATGTAGTGGAGAACAGCCGTAGGCATGCTGAAGATTATATGCTCCTTATAAACCAGGGCTGTAGGAGTAGGATCACTTCCTAGTCCATGTTACAGGAGATGCCGACTATCAGCATCGGAATTCATTTTCGGTCTCAAATCTCTGGACTATTTTTATCCCCTCTGTGCTACTCAGGCCGGAAAGCCCTCGTTGCTTCACTAATGACTATTCTATATTTTTAGCTGTGGCGGTTTTCCTCGTGAAGAAGCTCTCAAACATCTTTTTAGTTCTAGGCTATCCATAAGCCATGCTGGAGCAGGCCAAATATCAAAAACGCATTGATTCCTATTATGCTTGGAATAAAGACCTGCTGCTTGTGCATGGTAATGTGGAGTCTTTTGTCGTTCCCAAGAGCCGTCATATAAAGCCAACTACGTTGAAGACCAACATTAGTCTTCGGGCAGCAAAATTATCCTCTAACCACCATCTCCACTGTACGTTCTCCGACGACGCTTGTATTTCTAATATAGGCTTAACAAGGCATCTTCTATTTAAAACATTACTGCTTATTCAGAAGATTCTAGCCACCGACAACCAACCAATACTGTGTCGAGAAGAAGAGTCATCGGCTGATGTGGAAGACTGTCAGATTTTAGTTTAGAACAGCTATAACCTGTATATATTCTCCACCAGCCGCTAGGATCCGATATTATTATCTGATGGTGGTAATCCTCCGTACCGACACTAAAACTCTTGTCCATATATCCACAGCTACGATAAGCTTTTATTGCATGTTGTAACAGGCAGACAAAGAGAGCAAAAGATGAATGCAAATCGAGGCGCCAAAATAGTCCTGCACTGGTAGACACTCTCTCCGAATATGGCCAAGATCAATGCTCATTCAGACCAGGCTGGAAAAATCCCGAGCCCAGCGCATCATGTGGCTGATGGAGGAACTGAATCTCTCCTACGACATCAAGACCTACAAACGCGGTCCCAACGGCATCGCTCCACCCGAGCTGAAACAGATCCATCCACTGGGGAAATCACCCGTCGTCTCGGTCCAACCACCGGATGCCTCCCAGCCCATGGTTTTGGTCGAGTCGGCCGCCATCATGGAGTACTTCCTCGATCATTTCGGCGGGCCCAACACCCGACTCGTTCCTGAGCGCTATCAGCCCGGTCGCGAGGGCCAGTTAGGCGGCGAGACTGAGTCCTGGATGCGGTATCGGTACTACATGCACTATGCTGAGGGGAGTCTCATGTCGCCGATCCAGGTGCAGCTGATCATGAATGGTATTTTTTCCCAGTTTCTTCCATCATGTATATGCTGATGAAGCTAGCACTGAAAAATGCCCCCGTCCCCTTCTTCATCAAGCCCATCACCGGGCTCATCACCGGCAAAGTCAGCGCCGAGTTTCTCGACCAAGAGCTGCGCACCCATTTTCGCTTCCTCGAGGACCAGCTGGCGTCTGCGCCCGAGGAAGGGCCGTTTCTGTGTGGTTCGCAGCTGACCGCGGCGGATATCCAGATGAGCATCCCTGTTATTGCAGCGCTCAATCTGTCTATCATTCCACGCAGGGAGTATCCGCGGCTAGATGCTTATGCTGCGCAGATACAGAACTCGTCGGGTTATAGGCGGGCGGTAGAGAAGGTGGAAAAGATTGAAGGGAAGCCTTTTGTGCCAATTTAGTTGTGTAAATTTTAGGAACTGTTTGGAGCAAGCAACTGCAGAATTAGTTATGGCTAGAATGGATATGTTTTGATCTGCGCTGGCCCAGACTGGAATGATCCAGGATAACCACCTGGCACAGGCACAGCCATTACCGCTGTGTAACTAGAATTCACGAGATATGGCTTGTACAGTGACGTGCCGTCTTTATGCATGAGAATATAATCCACGTCTCAAGAATGACAAAAGTCGCCAATGGAAGTCTACAGATGCGAACGAACATAAGAAAGTCAAACACAATCATCTATTGAGCTAGGATTACAGAAGAAGAATCAGAATGCGACTATGGTATCGTCGTCGTCAGCGTCTCCGTCACGGTAAACGTTGCGGTAACCACCGAGCTCGTCATCGTCTTCACCGGGCAGTTAATCAGCGGCTTAACACTGGTCAGCCACCCAGCCAGCATATCCGGTTCACATCCCAGGATCGGCCCCGTCTCAACATGACAGGGAGTGTCAGTCCATCAGACGAGACCGTCCCACCATCCCCCGGGCTCGGCGCCGCCGCATTCGTATATATGCAGTTCGAATACTTCGTCGCCAGCAGATCCAGGGTCGAGAAGAGCGTGACATTCTGTGGAATATCCGTCCATGACTTCGGCCGCGGCGAAGCAGCCCAATCCGCAGCTAGATCGGTGGCTGTGTAACCCGCATCAGGCCAGGTCTCGGCGGTCCCCGCCAGGATGGGTGGTAGAGTATAGGTTGCCGATCATTGACGTGCCGGTTGTGTCGAAGCCCACAATGTCTAGAGAGTTAGCCAAGGGCGTATATATCTGGGCACAGGATGGGGTGAAAGGAGGATAAGGTACCTCTGCACGTTGACGAGCATGAACTGGTGGAGGACGCCGTGACACATGCCGTGCTGCAGGAGCTGTACGTCGCAGTCGAGCATTCGGACGTAGATTTTGATGGATCACCGTTGGGGTCATCATCATCATCCGGTGTATCGTTGGGGTCATTCGGGAAGTCATTTGGCGCTGGTTTGATTAGAAGTGCAATCGTGCGTAAAGAGGAGGATACATACAGTCAATCCCCTCACAGCCTATCTAGCATGGTTTACACACGTGAAAAACACTGTTAAGAGGTCCTCCAAGCCCCTTATGACACCCGCCACCACAGATCTTGCGTTTAGTGTATTTCGGCTTGGGTGGGCCACTGTGATGCGTCACAGGAGCGTAATCGTGGTCGTGGTGGTAGTACTCCCCATGTAAACGTAGTAGGTGGGCACCTCGTAGCCAACACCAATGCCCGTCACCAGAGTCGGATACACAAATGTTCTTGGAGTTGGCAGCGTTGTGGGAGGCAATACGTAGGTGCACGGCGGGTAGCAGGAGATATTCCTGCCATCATCTGGTTCACTCCAGATGACGGGATCAATATAAACCTCTCCCGAGTCGTCGCCGTCAGATCCAATGTCTCCTCCACCGGTTGACAGGGACAGCCACGCTGCAATCTCGCTGGTGAAACCATTCCGCGTTGTGTCGTTGAAGAGCAATGCGGGCAGGCCTCCCTCAGGCGACACAACCTCTACGTTGCCTTTGGTGAAGATGTTGTACATCCACAGTCCCTTTGCATAATTGGTCTGGATGAGGGACTGCTGGCAGTGCTCGACGGATACGCAGCTCTCGTCGTAGGCCTGAAACCAGGAATAGAATCCCGCCGAGTAGATGAAGACATCGGTTGAGTTGAGGAGTCGGAGCGCCCACGCGCCCCGACAGAGGTCATCCGAGCAGTCCTTGTACGTTGGGTCCGAGAGGAAGTAGGTGTTGGCCGTGTAGGGCGAGAGGGCATTGGGCTTGGGCTGGTAGTAGGGCGTCTCTGTCTGCATATGACCCATGTAGATTTTTTTGCTGCATTCAAAGGCTGGTACTGGTACATTTGCGCATGCTCGCTGGCCGTGCCGTAGAGCCACGTTGGCCCCTGAGACTCGATAAGTATGCCCCGTCCAACGTAGACTGAGATATCGGTCTGAACATTCAGCGGCACGCCAGCAGGACTTTCGGTGGCAAGCGCATTCAGAGGACTGTCTAAGTCATGGTCTGCCACCCACGCCCAGACATTTTCAAAGTAGCCTGACGCGTAGCTGGTGATGTGCATCAACATCGAGGCACCCATGCACTTTTTGTTCACCGCGTCCCCTCCGATGAGACGATCAGCAAGACCCAGATTGCTGCCGTTGGCGCCACTGACGCGGAAGTGACTTTCCCACATGGCGGCTATAGAATGTCAGAACGCGGTGCACGTGGAATGAACCGGTGGGAAGGGCCAGAACTCACCGCTGCCTTGGGTACTCTCGTGTACATTCCATTCCATCAGCACTGCACCGGCGGTGGATCCCTTGACGGTGAAGAGCATATCCGTAATCTCTACCATTCCCTGGTCCCCCTTCTGACCCACCCGCACCACAACGGTGGGATTACTCTCGTCCTCGAATGCGGATCCAGTCCCCATAATCTGGCTCCAACCGGAGCCAATGATCTTGCTCCCGATGGGAATATGGACGGTGCTTTCAACCAGATATACACCAGCAGGGAAGAAAATGACTGAACCCAGGTAGCTTGATAGGAGTTCATTAATGGCCCTGGCCTGGTCCCCCGTGCCGTCGTTGGAAATCCCATGATCGGTGGCCACGACGGGAGTCACGCCCACATACTGCCGCTTTGGCTTGCGGAAAAAGGCGCCCGAGCCGGCCAGCAGTAGAGATGGTTTGTTCGGGGCGGGGTTAATAAACCCGTTCGATTTACCGGCGGAGCCATCGGGCAGGAACCGATACCCACTGACCCAGGAGTTGAAGTAAAGCGCATCGGTGGAGCCAGGCAGGAGGTGTCTCCGCCAGAGATGAGGACCACGGACGCCGAGTTCTCGACTAGCAAATTGTTGAGGACAATGTTCGGCTGCTCATCTGCCGTGTGGGCAATGGTGATGGCATACGGGACGCCGTTGAACATTTACGGGGAAGACTTAGGAACTAACTGTCCTGGACAGAGCGAATGCGTGGAGTGAAAAATTGGATGGAGTCCGGTGGCCCAACCAATAATGGACTGAACAAAAAAAGTCCGTATCTCTTGTGCGGGGACACCTGGCGCGTTCGCGAGACAATGAGCAGCCAGATGAAAGACGCCAGCGGCAACCGCATGGTCAAGGATGACGGCCAGCCGTATCTTATCAAGGATAGCAAGGCCATGAGGACTCGTCGCAAGGAAATAGCACAGCAGTTTAATCAAAGTCCCAAGAGTATTTACCCGGTACCTGCCCTGCTCGGAGCAACCTTTGTCAATTGCTGATGGCGAGATAGTACTGGAGCGACCTCACTCAGACTTACACCTTTGATGTCAAATACGGTGATGATCCCACAATAGGACCTTGTGCGACAAACGCCCGCGTCATCGCTTATACCATCATTGAAGGGTCCCTTGGCGCCATCACACTATGCGACGCGACATTCAATCCTCCGCACTCGCAAGCAACTTATTTGAAAATAACCAACCACCTTACGGCGGCGTTAAACCCCAAGAGATCTCTGAAGTGCTTCCAGCCGGACGGGCTCTATATCACGAATTGTTTCATTTGTATTGGGGCCTCTCAGAGATGAACAGGGGTGACGATGAGGAATACAACTTCCCCCGGATGGCCGGAAATAAGCTCAGGAAAAATGGCAACATGTACACAAAGTCCCTAGCCATGAAAAATCCAGAAACCTACGCTCTGGCTGCGTATGTACTACTTCTCTTCTTCTCGTGCGATTGTGGTTATATGCGCTAACAATGTTGTATGAATGGCAGGGTCGCCTATGATTATACTCTGCATGTCACCCATACTACAAATAAGGGGACATACACAGTCGAGTTCTACACAGGCTTCTGTACGTATGAGGTGTGAAAATACCTGGACAGCTGTATCCGGATAGGTAAAAGGTGGAGGTACTCCTTGGAGGAAATCGCGTGTAATGACTTAAATGCAAGACTCGCTCGAATGCATGCTATGCTTGATTGACCGACTTAAATCATTCGTAGTCATCATCATCAATATATCGAAAGTTCTGCTTCCAGCGCTTAATATCCTCTTGACTCAGAAAGGTATACCATCGTTGGTAGTACTTGACTGGATCGTCAAGGGCCTGCCGCGACCACAATCCTAGCTGTATCATCCGCCGCTCCTCCCAGAATGCGAATCCATACCGAGCATAAGGGTGGAACCACATATACTTGGCCGGTCCGGCCGCGGGATTCGCACCCATACTGCGCCAGAATTGGATACCGAGCGGTTCTCGGTCAAGGTTTTCCCACTCTGGGCCTCGCAGAGACTGGGGCCCATAATCAAGTAGCGGGCGAGGCACATAGGGGTGCGGTCGGCCCCGGATATAAAATTCATCTGGAGGAGACGGGGTGGGGTCTCTCAACATGCAGGCATTTGCGCCTCTTCTAGGGCCATCCCCGCTTGTGTCAGAGCTCGAGTCAGAGCTTGATTCTTCGTCTTCAGTGTCTTCCCGGAAGTCCTCAGCGGTGTTCCATTCATTGTCGTCAGACGATTCGTCCTCGGAGTCTGTTCCGTAGAAAAATCGAGCTGGTCGCCTAGGTGGCTGTACGGCTTCACCTGTCAGGTCCGGACGAGGCTGAGACGGAGACTCGCGGCTGTGTTCAGGACTGTGTTCAGGACTGTGTTCAGGACTGTGTTCAGGACTGCGTTCAGGACTGGATTCCCCACTAAGATCATGGATAGGGTCTTGGAATGCCTCTGGGCTAGACTGATCGTCCCCTCTCTGCTGAGAGTGCCCTGATTGTTGCAGTGGGAACATCACATTCAAATCATGTTCACAATCTTCAAACGTCCGACCCTGACTAATAGCTCCTGCTGAAGGAGGAGGCTCGCAGACCCAGTCGAACTCTCTCTCACCGGGCATGCTCGGTAGTGGAAAGGAATCTCGAGCCAGACTCTCGGAGAGGTCAGAGGAACTTTCCGTCGGTGAGATCTCAGCAATGAAAACCAAAGCTGCAAAACCCTGGTAGCGCTGAGCATTCGAAAGATATTGATCATAGAGATCGCTCGAGGCCATTCGTTTTAGTTCATCAGTGGACCATCCCAGAGATCCCTTTGCGCATTCAATCTTGACTTGATTCCAGAATAGTAGGCGCCAAAATGCAAGAACAGTCCGTTGCTCCTCTGTCCATGTGGGAAGCCCAAAGCCTGGGGGATACTGTCGTTGGCCTAATGGACTCTCAAGACATCGCTGGATCATTCGTTCAATACATAGATGTGCCAGGACATGGATATAGTGGGACAGATAGACAAACTTGCGCAGCTGTGCCGGTGATGCTATAATCCTATTTGCTGGTCGGATGTCAGTGCTCATGAAATCACCGATGGTTACATATTTTTCCCATTGGAAAAAAGTGCCCACGTCCATGGCAAGGATTCCTTGCATGACGATCCGAGTCTGGACAGGCACAGCTAAGAGCATGACTTCAGAAACTATTTCACAGGCTCGATCGTTAAACACAGATAACATCAGTTTCGATGTGCGCATAAGACTCCACACCGAGGAAAAGTCGGCACACTGCTGGAAGATGGCGACTAAAAGCTCGCTGGGCAGCTGGGACAGCCGATCAAGGCTTGGGCCATGCGACTGCCGAGACATTCCCACTGATCAACAGTTGTTTAGTGAAAAAGATGATAAGCCTCGGTGGACCAGTGGCTGATAAGGCTTGATCGCAGGAGGTTTTATTCAATATCGGTGTCTGAGTCACTCCAAGGCACCAACCACACGTGGCGTTCATACAAGGGTCACAGAGTCTACTGCAAATATCCTCCCCTGCAAATGCAATATCCGCGGAATAAATTTGCAATCCACGATACGAGTTTCTTCATGATGCTCCAGTTGCTGCCAAGAGGTTATCAAACCGAAGGCGGCAGGGTGTGCAAGCCCTCGAATAGTATGTTCTTCGTGGCCAACTCAACCTGCGAAGCACGAGATGAGATGGGTGGAAAATATCCCAGTCTCTGGTTACATTGGGATGTGAGAGGAGGCCATGCCAGCGCAGGGGTCCGGAAGACTCACTGTACGATTTAGTGAGAAAACGTGGATCAGCTAGGGTTCACAGCCTCTCAATCACTACATCTCGGAACCAGCGGCAATCATCGCTGCGCCGACGGGCTTTAGAGTTCAAAACCTTTTCAAGACGGGTGATTTGGAAGTTACAATTAACTAGTATTGTAGTCCATTTGGTGCTAATACTGATGGTCTGTCTGGTGGTGCTGAAGCTTGAACCCCGCCGGAGTGGGCCTCTGTCGTTGGAGATAGCACGTGGTTTCCTTTTGCGGCAAACGCAGCGATTAATCGACTTTCCAAGCCTGGGTGTCCAATCAAACTATTTTGTGCTTATTTTACTAGCAAATATCGGGCTGTCTTGCTTGGACCAATACTTAGCATAGCCGAGGGACTTCACTTGACAACATACTGTTGTCCCTCTAGATTCGCGATACTCAGTGTATAGCATTCATTTGGAGTCGATTTATCCACAAGTGTAATGTCCAGGTTAATATCAATGCAATGAAGCTAGCAAGGTCAGGATTCGGTCCAATTGTCCAAGGCGTGGAAAGCCTGGGCACGAGGTTACATTCAGCTGTCACTGTCCGCCAATATTGTCCGTCGTGTCCCAAGTGAAACGAGAATATGTCCACCAATTTCATGGATATCTAGCTCGAGAACTGTGCAAGGCAGAGTATGCCTCTAGAAGATACCACGTCCTGTTTAAAAAGGGCTGTTGCGACTCTGGAGAAACATATAAAGCCCCAGCCATCCACACCACAGAACTCTCATCCATCAACATCATTCATCTTCCCACATCCCTTCAGTCTTTCATCCTACTGCTAGCAGTTCTCTAGTACACAATGAAGGCCACGGCCGTCATCCTTGCCCTCGTCAACACCGCCCTGGTGTTAACTGCTCCTGCCTCCGAGGTGAGCAGTAACGTTGCTCGTGGAGACAGCGGATGTTATGCCTAGTAGGGCCTACTCCCATTCTTGAAGGTGAATAGGAGATTAACGTCTGTGTAGCTCTAATCCCGGTTGTGGTGTCTCCGGCACTTTCTGCCAATGTCGTGATGGTGAGACTCCTGGCGACCAGACGCCCTCTCCAGATAACTGACATGATATGGTCTTAGGAAACTTCTACCTCTTTAATCTGGCCACTAATAACTGCCAGCCTCCATGGGGCTACATTGGTTCCAAGTCTTCCCTTCCTGGATGGCACTGCGGTTAATAGGGTCATTTGCCGGAATGACAATTCTTGACGACCTGAAATATGACTGGTACGGGTTGTGTTGTCCGTAGGGATGTATATAGCGATTAGCATGACTACTCATCAACACTGTCTGTAGACTCACCATCTAGCCTGTGGGTGAAGGTAGAAGATAGTCCAGAGGAATGTCAAAGTCTTACTTATGTGACAGCTTATTTAATACTATCTTATAATCACGCCAGTACCCATGACTGACATATATAATACTCAGCTATCCCCTTTGAAGTTGAGATTAGAAAATAATAGATTAGTAGATTAAATACAATGAGGAGTTAAATTAGGGATGGATGTACTCTATGGAATTGCAGAACACAAACCCGCCCATCAGGATAGCCAAGAGCAAGAGCTCTATCCTTGATAGCTGAGCAACTTGGCTGACGATACTCAAATGGGAGCCACAATACTTTTACACCTCCAAGGAACACCCAGTCGTCTACCAAGGATACCTGAGGGTTGTGCTCATCAGAAAGTGGGTGATGATCACAATTAAAAGGCTGAATCCTAAAGGAACCATTGTTAGTTTCCAAGTATGGCCCTTGTGTTGAGAACCTTATCGAACTGATTGCCGTCTTTGCATGCAAAACTTCGCGCAGCGCTCCAGTCTTGGCATCCCAGAGCCCAATAGTTGCATCACGAGAGCCTGAGGCGACTGTTTGGCTGTCCGGAGAGAAGACCATTGTGTGAACTAAATCTGAATGGCCCTGGAGCTTCTGGGGGTCTCTTCCAGTATTAGCATCCCAGAGCCTGATAGTTTCATCATGAGATCCTGAGGCCAGTATCTGGCCCTCTGGAGAGAAGGCCACAGTGTAAACCTTATCTGAATGGCCCTGGAGCTTCTGGAGTTCTCTTCCAGTCTTGGCATCCCAGAGCCGAATGGTTTTATCACCAGAGCCTGAGGCTACCATCTGGCCATCTGGGGAGAAGGCCACAGTGTAAACCTTATCTGAATGGCCCTGGAGCTTCTGGAGTTCTCTTCCAGTCTTGGCATCCCAGAGCCGAA